CCATCACTAATGCTCAGAAAGAACCTAATTTTGCAAACACATTTATCTCACACAAAGGGGGAGTGTTTATTACAGGTTAAGAAAGATGAGACTATATTGTCTAATACTGGTGCAGAATCAAATTTTTGATATCGTGAAAGAATTTTGAAAAACAATTCAGTTACTGCCATATTTGTCAGCTCTTCAATGAAGGTATTATAGATGTAGGTAATGTGCCTTCACAATAAATTTCTCATCTTGTCTAGAGCAATATTAAAATATTAAAGATATTTTGCTAAGTTTGATGTATAATGCACTACAATTAATCTGATTTCTTGTATAATATGACTGAAATCTCATCACTGATATAATTTGACATAAATCAGATCACTGGTATTTCATAGCTATACTATTTCAATGAATAATATATAACGCCATCACATCCTACAGCTGAAGGTTTCTGTTATAAAGAAAAGCAATATAATTTCACAGATGTAGTTTTGAAAAAAGAATTTTTTGCGATACATTGCACAAAGTTGGACATATGAAAACTTCATTGAATGTAGGTCATTTAATCTCAGCTCTTGATTAAATCTGTTAATTACTTTCGGTTTGACAATGTATGGAAATTAGAAGACAATTATAAAAGCTAGAGGAGACAGTTGTAAAGCTAAGAGGAGACAATGGATAAAGATTAGGGAAGACGGTTATAAAGCTTAGAGGAGACAGTAATAAAGCTTACAGGAGACAGTTATAAAGCTTAGAGGAGACAGTAATAAAGCTTAGAGGAGACGGTAATAAAGCTTAGAGGAGACAATTATAGAGCTTAGAGGAGACAGTAATAAAGCTTAGTGGAGACAATTATAAAGCTTAGAGAAGTTGGTTGTAAAGCTTAGAGGAGACAATTATAAAGATTAGAGGAGACAGTAATAAAGCTTAGAGGAGACAATTATAAAGATTAGAGAGACAGTTATAACAATTAGAGGAGACAATTATAAAGCTTAGAGGAGACTTTGTATAAAGATTTGAGGAGACAATTATAAAGCTTAGGGGAGACAATTATAGAGCTTAGAGGAGACAGTAATAAAGCTTAGTGGAGACAATTATAAAGCTTAGAGAAGTTGGTTGTAAAGCTTAGAGGAGACAGTAATAAAGCTTAGAGGAGACAATTATAAAGATTAGAGGAGACAGTAATAAAGATTAGAGGAGACAGTAATAAAGCTTAGAGGAGACAATGTATAAAGATTAGAGGAGACAGTAATAAAGCAATTATAAAGATTAAAGGAGACAATTATAAAGCTTAGGGGAGACAGTGTATAAAGATTAGAGGAGACAGTAATAAAGCTTAGAGGAAACAATTATAAAGCTTAGGGGAGACAATGTATAAAGATTAGAGGAGACAGTAATAAAGCTTAGAGGAGACAATTATAAAGATTAGAGGAGACAATTATAAAGCTTAGGGGAGACAATGTATAAAGATTAGAGGAGACAGTAATAAAGCTTAGAGGAGACAATTATAAAGATTAGAGGAGACAGTAATAAAGCTTAGGGGAGACAATTATAAAGATTAGAGGAGACAGTTATAAAGATTAGAGGAGACAATTATAAAGCTTAGAGAGACAGTTATAACAATTAGAGGAGACAATTATAAAGAGGAGACAATTATAAAGCTTAGTGGAGACAATTATAAAGCTTAGAGAGAAGTTGGTTGTAAAGCTTAGAGGAGACAATTATAAAGCTTAAAGCTTAGTGGAGACAATTATAAAGCTTACAGAAGTTGGTTGTAAAGCTTAGAGGAGACAATTATAAAGATTAAAGGAGACAATTATAAAGCTTAGGGGAGACAGTGTAAAGCGGTAATAGCTTAGTGGAGACAATTATAAAGCTTAGAGAAGTTGGTTGTAAAGCTTAGAGGAGACAATTATAAAGATTAAAGGAGACAATTATAAAGCTTAGGGGAGACAATGAATAAAGATTAGAGGAGACAGTAATAAAGCTTAGAGGAAACAATTATAAAGATTAGAGGAGACAATTATAACAATTAGAGGAGACAATTATAACAATTAGAGGAGACAATTATAGAGCTTAGAGGAGACAGTAGATAAAGATTAGAGGAGGAAACTATAAAGGTTAGAGGAGGCCATTGTAAATGATAGGAGGCAATTATAATGATTAGCCCAGACAATGTATAGAGATAAGAGGAGACACTTAAAAAGCTTAGAGGAGGCTTCGTATAAAGATTAGAGGAGACACTTATAAAGCTTAGAGGAGACATGGATAAAGATTTGAAGAGACTGTATAAAAGTTAGGAGATTATAGGTAAAGATTAAAGGGACAATGCATAAAGATTAGGAGACAATTATAAAGATTAGTCCAGACAATGTATAGAGATTATAAAGGTTAGAGGAGACTTTGTATAAAGGTTAGAGGAGACTTTGTATAAAGGTTAGAGGAGACTTTGTATAAAGGTTAGAGGAGACTTTGTATAAAGGTTAGAGGAGACAATTATAAAGATTAGTCCAGACAATGTATAGAGATTATAAAGGTTAGAGGAGACTTTGTATAAAGGTTAGAGGAGACTTTGTATAAAGGTTAGAGGAGACAATCGATAAAGATAAGAGGAGACAATGTATAAAGATAAGAGGAGAAAAGGATAAATATTAGCAGAGACGATGAATAAAGATTCATAGAGGCAATAGGTAAAGATTAGACTAGACATTTGTAAAGGTTAGAGGAGACAATTATAAAGGTTAGAGGAGACAATGGGTAAAGATTAGAGGAGACGGTTCTAAAGGTTAGAAGAGACAGTTCTAAAGGTTAGAGAAGATGATGTATAAAGCTTAGATCAGACAATGGTAAAGATTACAGGAGACAAATTATAAAAATTTGAGGAGACAATGGATAAAGATAATAGGAGACAATTATAAAGCTTAGAGGAGACAATTTAGATTTGAGGAGACCATTAAAATTTGAGGAGACAATTATAAACATTAGAGGAGACAATGTATAAAGATTTGAGAGGAGACAATTACAAAGTTTTTAAGATTAGAGGAGGAAATGTATAAAGAGAAAGTGTGTGATCAAATAGTTCGGTTAACTTTGTCAAAAGTCAAAGCCAAATTTTCAATCTTTTATTTGAGAATATATTGTCATTATGAAGCAAAGCTGATTTGAATCCAATGAGGACATACATGACCAAGGTCAAGCTTAATTTTTATTGTAGCAATAGTCAGTGCACAGGTGAGTGCTTCATCTCTTGTGAACATGTTAATCTCAAAATTATGAAACAAATCTGAAAAAAAAGTGTGTAATTGCATGAAAATAAACAAGGTTAAATGCCATAATTAAATATTATATATTTTGTAACATCTTGAAGTAATCATCAGAATCAACCCATCATTAAAGATTCAAGTCAAAGGTCAAGGTCAATTTTCAAATCTATAGTATTATGTATATGAGTTTAGATGGAAATTTATGACTGTCCAATGTATGTGACCTAGTAAGTGAACCACACTTATATGATAATATTTAACAAAGTTCCAAAATGATGAAACAATATATACCCCCAAATAATGAAAATACAAATCTTGGTGATGAAACAGTCAAAATCTCACAATACCTGATTTTACAAATCTGGTATGAAACTATACAAAGCTCACAGTGATGAAACAATACAAATCTCGCAATACTCCAGCTATTCAAATCTTGTTGATGAAAACCATACAAATCTCAGTGATGAAACAATACAAATCTCGCAATACTCCAGCTATTCAAATCTTGTTGATGAAAACCATACAAATCTCAGTGATGAAACAATACAAATCTCTCAATACTCCAGCTATTCAAATCTTGTTGATGAAACAATACATATCCCACAATATCCAAGCTGTACAAACACTTGCAGTGATAAAAGACCATACAAATCTCCATGATGTAACAATACAAATCACAATATCCAAGCTGTACAAATCTTGTTGATGACAATCTTACAAATCTTGGTGATGAAACAATACAAACCTCACAATACCCAATTTTACAAATCTCACAATATCCAAACTGTACAAATCTTGGTGATGCACAATACAAATCTCACAGTGAAAAAACCATAAAAATCTCCATGATGTAACAAAACAAATCTCTGTGATGAAACCATACAAACCTCACAATATCCAAGCTGTACAAATCTTGGTGATGACAATCTTACAAATCTCCATGATGTAACAATACAAATCTAAAGTAAGCAAGTAAAGTAAATTGTGCAATGATGTAACAAAACTAATCACATGTACACCCAGATGAAATCTGAATGATAAAGCCATAAAAAATCCAGAATATGTATGTATATATATATATATAATGATCAACTAACCTGAGAATACAGGTTGTCAGTAAGTTTTTTAATTTGATACGTTTGAAGGGATGTAGTTAATTCTGATGTACTATCTGTAATAAATGATAAATGAGTTTTCTGTAAGGTCTGACTCAAGATTTGAATTTAGTTTGCACATTTTAAAATTTAAAAAATCTTTTGCTGACATAAAAAAGAACATTGATCCAGTTTGTCTATATCATATATATGACCTGTGGATTGTGAATTTGTGAAAAATCTTCGTGGTTTGCATTTTACACAGTTTTACTTTAATCTTAAGCTGATAGTATTATAGGGAGCTCTTCCAGTAAATAAACGCACATAAAAAAAACTCTTTACAACTTGATGAAATAGGTCGTAAGAACATTTCAAAACAAAACTAAAATGTGATGCTACATCTATTGTGAATATGAATATAATCTTGGCTACAGATAAATATTCATGACATCATAACAAACCTCATTATATTCATTTTGACTATAAATGCAATCTGTCAATATCATTTAAAGGTTAAATTCATGTTATCAAGTTGGTGTGCCTTTAAACTGTTAACAAGAATATATCACCATACATATTTATGGTTTGATTGCACTGTTATTTGTACTAGTGGTATTCAATGATTTGAGAAGATCTTCATCTTGTGTCTTTTCAGATGTCTGTCATTATCCGTCTGCAGGGACTGCCATGGTCGGCTAGTGCCATGGATATCAGGAAGTTCTTTAAGGGAATGAGCATTCCACCTGGGGGTGTTCACATCATTGGCGGGGAGCTTGGTGATGCCTTCATAGCCTTTTCTAGTGATGAAGATGCCCGACAAGCAATGATGCTGAACATGCAGTATCTAGACCAGGATCAAATCAAGCTGTTTCTTAGTAGTAAAACAGAAATGCAGAGTGTGATAGCTGCAGCCAAAACATCTAGCGTGGCTGCTGTGCCACAGAGTCAGCCACAGATAGCAGCACAGCCGCCATCACACCCCAGCATGCCAGTAAACCTCCAGGGATATCCAGCAGAACAGCAACAGGCAGCTTATCCAAAAGGGGGGCCAACCATGACCCAAGATCCTTCTCGGGGGCAACAATTCCCCAATCATCCATATGAAGGCCATCAATATCCACAGTATCCAGAAGAGCAAGCAAATGCAGACATGAACAGGTTTCCTCAGACACCATATGAGCAAGCTAGAGGACAGCATCAGGCAGCATATCCAGACCAAGCAAGGGGTCAGCAGCCAACTGCTCCTTTTGAACAAGGCAGAGGCCCTGACCAAATCCTCAGGGGAAACACTGCACACCCAGGCTCCTTTAACCAAGCAAGAGGTCTTGAGCAAGCAAGAGCCCCGAATCAAGCACCCTTTGATCCAGCAAGAGGCCCACATCAAGCACCCTTTGATCAGACAAGGGATGAGCAACGGCCTCCCTTTGATCAAGGAAGGGGAATGCCTTTTGCTCATGGAAAAGGACTAAATCAAGCCCCTGTTGAAGGAAGGGGACCACCGGTGTCTTCTTTTGAACCTGGTAGAGAAGGAAGAATTCCATCTCAGCCTCAGTTTGAAACAGGTCGTGGTATTCCACCTACTGGCTTTGGCCGTGGCCAAGAAGGAAGAGATATGTTTATATCTGGGCATGATGGCAAGGGCCCTCCACCTATGTATGAACCAGGAAGAGATGGAAGATTTGATCATGAAAGGGATATAAGGCCACCAGTGGACCAAAGACGTGGTGCAGCAACAGGAAGAGAGATGCCATTAGCTGGATTTCAACAAGGCCGAGGGCCGCCACCTCTATTTGAACCAGGCAGGGAGACAAGGGTTAATCCACCAGCTGGATTTGAGCAAAGATCTGGTCCTTTTGGTCAAGGTAGTGATGCAAGACTTCAACCTCAATCTGCTCCATTTGGTCGAGGAGAGGAGAGGCCACCACTTGAGTCAGGCAGAGACTCCAGGGAAAGTGGTAGAGACTCCAGACCTTCAGCAGCAAGCATGCCACAGAAATCTGACAGATCTGATCGAACAGATAAACCTGATGAGAGACGCATTAGTGAGAGAAGTGATCGTCGTGATTCTCCACGAGGTCCTTCAAGTAGGTTTGATAGGGATCGAGATCGTGATAGGGACAGGGATCGCGATCGGGATAGAGACAGGGACCGTTACAGAGATAGAGACAGGGATCGGGAAAGAGACCGTGAAAGAAGTGACAGACGAGACAGGGACAGAGATAGAGATCGGGAGAGGGATCGGGATCGAGATCGTGATAGGGATCGGGATCGGGATCGAGATAGGGATCGGGATCGAGATCGAAGTAGAGATCGGGATCGAGACCGATCTCGTGACTGGTCACGGTCATCAGACAATAGAAGATCACAATCAAGGACCAGTGATAGTGAGAAATCAAAGCCATCACCTTTGACTTCAGTCAAATCAAAAACTACTGCTCTATCTACTGCAACCAACACTAAACCTGCTAATACCAGTAATGCTCCAAGTGGTCTGTCCACTGCACCCACCACAGTAACTGCGAGTGCTAACAAAATTATGGCTGCTTTGCCAAATCTGAAGGACATACAATTGCCACCAGGTTTGAAAAATATCAAATTACCTCCTGGTCTAAAAGATATTAATCTTACGTCTGTGATGACTTCTTCTGCAAGTCTCCCTATAGCAGCTAATCTCCCAGACAAATCTGAGGCTGTGATTAAAGACAAAGAGGCTAGCTTCACCAGCCAGCAGCCAGGAAATTTATCTGGCATGAACAATGCAGTGCCACAGAAAGGGGGGCTACCTCATCCTCTGATTTCTCCAGGACATCTACCACCACAAAACCAATTCAGAGATCAGGGACTGCATGGTCCCTCACCTCATCGAGACCAAGGACCCCCATTTAGAGACCAGGGACCACATGGTCCTTCACCTCATCGTGATCAAGGGCCTCCTTTCAGAAATCAAGGACTCCATGGTCCCTCTCCACATCGAGACCAAGGACCTATATTCAATGAGGCCGATCCACCCCAATTTGGAGACCAGGGACTTCCATTTAGGGATGGAGGGCCTCCACCGTTTAGAGGGGATCAGGGAACTCATCAATTCAGAAATCAAGGACCCTCTCATTTTGGAGATCATGGGCCATCTCATGGAGACCAGGGACCTCCACAGTTTGAAGACCAAGGCCCACCTAACAGAGATCAAGGACCTCCATTTAGAGAAGGTGGACCACCATTTAGAGACAGAGGACCTCCATTTAGAGAGGGAAGAGGACCTCCATTTAGAGAAGGGGGGCCGCCTACATTTAGAGAAGGAGGACCTCCATTTAGAGAGGCAGGCCCACCTCCATTTAGACAAGGTGGCCCTCCATTTAGAGAGGGTGGCCCTCCACACAGAAAGCAGGGACCCCATCCAGGACCACCATTCAGAGATCAAGGACCCCCCCAATTTCCTGAAGAGGAGGGATATGGCGATGATGAGGGCATATTTGGTCCAGGTGATGGAGATATGTACCATGGTGACCGTCTTCACAGACCATCTTCTGATAGACGACCAGAGAGGTCATCACAGGGTCTGCTTCCCATTCCTGATATGCCCCCTCTTTCAGCACATAGGGCCCCTGGAGGTCCAGCTGGTGGACCAGATGGGTCTGAAAACCACTTCGGTCCTCCATTTGGTGGACGGCCTCCTCGTGATGGACCAGCATATGATCCAAATTATCAAGAGGACCATCTTTCCAATGAACCATTTGATGAAGGAATACAACAAAATATGGAATATGAGGAGCCTGCTGGCCGACGGCCAGGTATGCCCCCCATACCAAATGGGCCACCAATGAGACCTCCTCCTGGGGGCCCTCATGGACCTCCAAGGAAGCGTATGGGGCCACCAATGGATCCAGAGGGTGGTAGAGATTATCATGAATTTCCTTCAGAAGGGAATCAAGGTGATTTTGATGAACGACCACCACCATTTCCTCATGGCCCTCGAGGACCAAGACCTCTGCGTCCAAGATTTGGACCACCAAGAGATTCTGATCATCGGTCCAACTTTGAGAGAGATGGACCCCCTCACAGAAGAAAACTTGATTGTGATATGGGTGATGATTATTCTTCAGAAGATAGAAATTTCAGAGAAGACATTGGTCCAAGTGATGCAGACCATCGACCACCAAGAGGACCACCTCCTAGATTTCATAATGGTCCTCCACATGGGCGAGATTTCGGAGGAAGAGATAGACCATATGGACCTAGAGATGGTTCAAGGGATGACCGAAATTGGGGTCGCAGTCATGATTTTGGACGTTCAGATAATTCACGTGAATCAGAACGGTATCCAGCAGGTAGAGGGAGGGATTCGAGAGATTTTCGAGATGAAATTCCACGAGATAGGGCTGATAGTGAACGTAAAAGGGATTCTAAGGGAATATTAGGTGAGGCTCCACCAGGCATGAAACCATTTTCAAGATCATATGATGAAAATCGTTCATCTAGTAGCAATAGACAAGGGGAGGACTCTCGCCATGGTGATTCACGCCACAGTGATTCGCGATATGGAGATTCTCGACACAGTGATTCTCGACACAGTGATTCAAGGCCATTAAGTGAAAATAAAGACAGTGACATGAGGGGACAGAAACGTTCTTACACGCCCACATCGGCCTTCGTCCTCAGTGTGTCAAACATGCCATTATCTGTTAATTTCCGTGATGTCCGACATTTTTTCATCGGTTGTGAGATACCTTGGGATGGCATGAAGCTCATTAACGATAATGAAGGAAATCGAATTGGAAAAGCATTCATTCGATTCGATACAAGAGACAATTACAGACAGGCCCTGATTGCACATGGTAAATTCATGAATGGCAAAAAGGTGGATGTGCGCCCTTGTTCTCTGGAAGAATGGACCAAGGCTATCGACTCATATGTTCCAAATAGAAGTGGTGCATCACCTGAACCACAATCCTCTTCGACAGATTCATCTAAACGACCTCGTATAGAGGAAATTAACAAAAAGCCAGAGAGAACAGATTCAAAGCCAAGCTCGGATAAAAAGACATCAGCCTCTGACGGTAAAACATCAAGTTCAGAGAAAAATATGGTCACTACTGAGAAAAAATCTGATGTAAGTGAAAAGAAAGGAGTGAGCGAGGAAATAAAAACAGGGAGTACCGACAAGAAAGCGACAGATTCTGAGAAAAAACCATCTAGTATTGTGCAGCTGAAGGGGTTAGGGATGAATGTCATAAAGGAAGATGTCCGTAATTTCTTTGATGAATTAAAAGTGTCTGATGGTGCCATGACTATACACATTGAGTATGACATCAAAGGCAGGGCAACTGGAATAGGGTTTGTAGAGTTCACAGATGCATCAGATCTGGAAAAAGCTCTCAAACTTGATGGGAGAAAGTTGAGCCAGCGAATTGTACGTGTATGTGTAGCCAAGCAAAGTGAACTTGATCAAATGACTCAAAGACAGCAAGATCAACTAGCTAAGTCTGTGGAGATGAATTCCGGGGATGCGCCAAGTGCGGTTGGGAAAGCTGTCAACAAGCCGCCAAATAGTGATACTACTAATGGCAAGAAGGATGAGATGGTGAAAGATAAAGATGGCACATATGCATTGTTTCATTTTTATTGTGCTCACATGCAGGGTCTTCCTCCCTACGCTGGCATTCAGGATATACAGCAGTTTTTCACAGGACTTGAGATTGTACCACGTGGAGTTCAGTTTGTCAAGGACTCCAGTGGCAAATCTTTAGGGGAGGCTTTTATTGAATTTGTCACCAAGGGTGATTGTGAAAAAGCAGTGAAGAAAACAAACGGGAAAATGAGCAACAATACTATCACAGTGAAAGGCATTTCCAAGTCTGACATGAATGATTACCTGCAACAGACTCGCACACCAATGTCTCGGCAAGGCATGACGCCAAGATCATCACTGCCCCCAATAATGTCAGGTCAACCTCCACCTCATGGACCACCCTCACTCGTTCCTCACTCACATGGCCCACCCCCTCATGGCCCACCCTCCCATGGCCCACCACCTCATGGAAGGCGACCAGCATTCTTCTTGAGAGCTCAGAATCTTCCCTTTACTATGTCAATACGTGAAGTTCACAGTTTTTTCCAAGATTACGACCCGATCTATGAAACAATCAAAGTGCAAATTGGAAATGACAGTAAGACGGGAGGAACATCTGCTGTTATTGGCTTTCGAACACCAGATGAGCGGGATAATGCCTTAAGCAATCTCCATCAAAAGGTCTACCGCAATAAAACTATTATGTTGCTGCCAGCATGAACCATAGAGGTAGGTTTTCTACCTAATTGTTGATATTGTCAACAGCATTTTATCTATTTCAAACGTGGTTTACCTATTTTTAATCTTTATTTACAACTAATTTAGGGTCAAACAAAATGTGAATATTATTTATCAAATTGTGTTTTTAGCTGAAATTGTTTCACTCTTTTATTAAAAATTAAATTTTCAATCAACTTGTATATGAAATTATCAAATTTCATTTATTTACGAAAAAAAAAATTCATAATTATCAGACTTATACAACATATATGAATATAATTGTTGTATATAGATTATTAATGTTTTTAGGCAGATAAACTTAAGTGAATTTGTTTTGATCACAAAATTCGTAAATATAAATTGCTAGACAATAAGCCTTGTATTGCTGCTATCATGTGTTTGATAAACAAACATAGCAGTAATTAGCACCAACATATTCTTAATTTCAAATTTTATAGATGGTGATTTTCTCAAATGCTCTTTCTGATGATATTTAGATATAAGTTCAAGTACCAAAAATTAATTACTCTTAATAGCTTCATTAAATATTAATGACAGGAATTAAAAATACTCAGAAAGTAAACTAATTGTTTCTTCTTAAGGTTATTGAGTGAAGTTATTGAATTTGGAATACATAATGACTGTGAGCAGAGTAATTAAAGATGATTTTTCTCTCTCGATCAGGTTAGTCTGGCACTCTCTTCAATGTAACCTTCATGTAGGAGCACAAACAAACAGCCAACATTGCTACAACCTTAGATGCTCTGAAGTGTGGTCCCCAGCTGTGACCTTAAACATTAGAAGTGTAGTTTAACCCTGGAGATGATTTGGATTTGGGGTTAACATAACTAACTTCTGGATCGGAAAGCTGCTGAAGACAATATTCTAACTTTCACTTCTCATCAAGATAGACATGGTTTGATATTGAATACATGCTTGAGAGAAAAGTCACAGCTCAAAGCTCTGCAGCTGCTTTAGACAATGGTCTGCAGTACTGTGACCTTGTATAAAGGTTGTCGTACTAGGTGCTGCCAAAGGTCCGCAATGCAACCTTGAAACCATAATCAGGAATTAAAGTGAATTAATGACAAATTGTGCTCTTTAGTATCAGAGCTGCTGAGAATGACTGTAGTGACAGTGCTGGACCTAGAGGTGTTATGTGATTTCACTAGGACACTGATGATTCAACTACATGTAATCCCTATCTCAGACATGTGTTTTTCCATGTGACTTGGTTCTAGTATAAAATAACAGAGGTATCCATAGTTGGTACTGATGGAAACATGAAAGCAAATACTTAGAATGTCATAACCATGTGTCATTTAAAGTTGGTGAACAAAAAATATCAACAGATGAAAATTTTTATCTGTTAAAGCAACACAGTTGTAGATAAGGTGTAATGTAAATAAATGTCAGTTGATTTTGTCTCTCAACCATCATTTTCATAGAGAGATTTAATTCATTCTAGGTGTTTATATAAATTATAGAATAAGTCTGTGAATTGTTACCTTTTAAAATTTCTGTATGCATCTTTTTATAGACCTTTAATATTAAAAACTTGGGAATGAAAAAAATGTTTAATGACAAATATCTGCTGGTGCAGTCCATCAAGATTATTCCCAGAAAAAGACCACAATTTAGAAGTCCCAAGATTTACAAAATCACTTACTGCAAAAACCTATGTTTTTGTGGGGCTCAATTTTTGGTGGTTTTCAAAAATTTGCTATTTTGTGGATAAATATAGCTCAATAAAGCAACATATGTTTATTTCAACAGTTTGAGGACATCCATATATTAAGTGTTCACCCATAAAATCAACCAATTTTTTTATTTTGTAGTATTTTGTTTTTGACTAAAAAAACTTTAAATTAGGATATCTAGATCAGATGTGACTTGGTTATCAAGACTCAGAACTGAAATAGAGTGGACAGATAGCTTGGTATTGAAGTCAGTATTGTATAGTTAAGGTAGTGTTGTTTATGAATTCATATTCAAGCTAAAACATTCTACCCAACTAGGTGCTGTTATTTATTTGGTCAAAATTCTATATCAAAATAAAAAGATTTAATTTATCAGATTTCAATTTCAAAATATCAACCTGGTAAATCTGTGACTATATTTGATCGAATGCTATTGGTATTATCTGCAAGAAATATGCCCTAACTTCAGTAAAAGTAAAATTTTATTCGCAAAGTACCTTGTTAAACTTGTTTCTTGAACACTTTGTGCACTAAAATCATCAAATTTCAAACGAAATGTTATAAGATAGTTGTTTGAACAGTTTTATGTACTGGTGTTAAGTGAACAATTTTGAGTCATGGTGTTTGAAACTACCACAGAAATTGCTATTTTGAGATGTTCTTCATATTTGATGAGATTGAAGTTAAATCCTGTGATAACATTACCATCTTGTACACTGATGTACTTTTCAGTCCAAATATGCTTCAAGCCAATCATTTGCCTGATGAAGGTGACATGTACAGCATAAATATCAAAACATCACACAAATATTCTAAGTGGTTGTGTTGTATATTTTTTTCATTTTGAAAAAAAGCTGATAAAATTGCATTTGCTATTTACAGTAAAATCATTCATTGTTATGGAGGTTTATTTCATTGATAATGTATGTACTATAATGCCAGAAATTCATCCACCCAACACTGTTGAAATTATGTTAAGTAGATTTATTGAGACACAAAATCTAAATTTCATGAATTTGGTTTTTTTTTTTTTTTTTTTTTAAAAACCATGAAAATTGAGCCTCACACAAAATGTAATTTTTCACTGGTGTATTTTACAGCATTCTATATTTATATCTAGGTCCTAATATTCTCCATCTGCTATAAGCAGCTAGCCTACTTATCACATTCTTTGGCCACTTTAAGGACAAGAGAGCCTGCCAGAGCTGCAATTAACATTAAAACTGTAGTTTATCATGACCAGATATGACTCGCAAAATATATAAGTGCTAAAGGTATTCCTCACTCATCAAATTTCTTACTTTTTAAAAATTTTTTACACTTCTTTCTTCCATTTAGTGTTAGAAGTTTTTCAATAAATATCTATAAAGACCTCACAGTATTGACACAAAATAAAAACTGAAAGTAAAAAATTAACTTTCTACAAACATCATCAGTTGCTGAGAGAAGTATTTTGGGTTTAAAGAATTTGTCATAAAAGGTAATTTTCTTGAATACTTCATTAAGACATACTTTATAACCAGGTTTGTGGGGCTCAATTTTCATGTTTTTTCAAAATAATCACTTTCGTGGGGATTCGATTTCATGATAATATAAATCAACATCTCTCCTTTACATGAATTCATGGACCACAAAATCAATGAAAATAATCCCCCATGAAAATTACAGTAGTCCTGTGAAACTTTATTTTGCCATGAATAATGTTTTTAAGCCTTCTGTATGCAGTATTACGAAGTTTTAAGATGGCGATTCAAACACAGGAAGCTACTGTCATTGTTCAGTCAGATTTCTGAAGGAAGTACTGAAAGTTCAAATTTTGACTCAAAGACATTTTATATAATCTTGAGGCAAGCTTCAAAACATAACGATGAAACGGTCCCTCATCTTGTGTATTCAAGTGTGTAGAAGAATCCTCGGCTTGTGGATGTTATATCCCTGTGTTTTTACTTTGTATATGACACAACTTGTCCCAGTGTTAATTTCATTACAGTAATATTCTATCATGTATGACCATGTTCAGTGTGATTATAAAACGTCAAACAAAAGTAATATTGTTTGCTAGTTTTTTTATGGCCTTAAAGACATATCCAGGCAAAAGCCAGAGTCATGTGACTGTTTGCAGTCAAGTGGAAAACATTTGGGGTTGTGGCTATAAATTTGACCTTGACCTGTGACCTTGACTTTTACGAAGTTTAATTCTTGTAAATTCTTTGCTTTATTAAGTCATAACAAAATATGCATCAGTGAAATGATACAAATTTGACTTAGACCTCTGATCCAGTACCCTTGACTTTTGCACAAAAAATTGGCATGCACACCTACATGGTTCTTTTTATTGATACGAAGTTTCATTGGAATCTGTCCACTGGTTGCAGAGGGATATTACAATTATTATTTTCATACCAGTAATCTTCCTTTCCATAAATACCTATTGTATGCTTCTTGAAAAAAAATTCAAAAGTTGTCAAGGAAAGGAAAATTTATTTCTCTATTTCCACATTTTCTTCAAAAAATTCTGTAACTTTAATGTAAATATTTATTATAAAAATATAGTTATTCAAAAGCATGACAATTAAACATAATATTGCACTTTGGACAATAATACAATGAATTCATCAGTGATGAATGTTCATAAGCTAAAACTTCGGTATAATGAAAGCAATCCTCAGATTTTTCATCTTTTTTATGCCCTCTCTGGTAACGTATCTCCCTTTGATGTCCTTGTGGCCAACATTCGGGTAACTTATCTCCTTTTGATGTCCTTATGGCCAACACTCGGATAACTTATCTCCCTTTGATGTCATGTTGCCCAACACTCGGGTAACATAGCTCCCTTAGATGTCCTTGTGGCCAACAATCAGTTAACTTATCTCTCTGTGATATTATTGTGGCCAACAGTCAAGTAACTTATCTTCCTTTGATATCCTCATTGCCAACACTTGAGTATACTTTCTCGATTTGATGTCCTTGTGGCCAACTCTCGGGTAACTTGGCTCCCTTTGCTGTCCAGGTGACTAACACTGGTAACTTATCTTCCTTTGATGTCATAGTGACCAACACATAGGTTACTAACTCCCTTTGCTGTCCTGGTGGCTGACACTTGGGTAAGTTATCTCCCTTGATGTCATGGTGACCAACACAAAAGTTACTGATCTGCCTTTACTGTCCTGGTGGCTGATACTCGGGTAAGTTATCTCTCTTCGATGTTGTGGTGACCAACACCTAGGTAACTTATCTTCCTTTGCTGTCCTTTCCACCAATACTTTGTCGTCTTGTTTCTACATCAATCACCTTGAAAGAGACAAGAGGCCCAAGGGCCTTAACTGTCACCCGAGTCACAATGCTTCTTGAAATATTTCATAGAAATGATTTTGTTAAAGGTCATCTTACTACAAAGATCTATAGGCCATATAGGCCTAACATAAATTGCTCAACTACTCTACAGCTTACAATAGAAGATATTGTTGATTCATCAAGATATTTTCTGCAAATTTGAAATCATATTCTTTATACACATACTACAGAGTTGCCATTACTCGCAGCATATTACTTAATGGAAAGCAAGCTTTGGGCCCAATATCAAGAACCTTGGTCTTTCTGTTATTGAGAAGAAGTTGCTTAAGCAATTTGATCCATGTAACCTTGAAAGTTGGTCCAATATCAGCACCCTATTTTTTATATTTGATACCTGTGGCCTTTCAAGCAGATCAAGGTCATTCCCATCAACTAGGGGAGGGGTTGAATCACCTTCATAATTTTGACCCCACCTACCCCCAGGTCCCTGGTCAAGTTTCTGAATTCAAGAAATGATTCTACACTCTAAATGATATTTCACACCAAATTTAGTTGAAATTCATGCAATCATTAAGAAACAGGATCATTTTGAAGCAAAACATTGTCTAACTTCCCCTTTTGGGCCCTTACCCCAAGTCCCTTGTGATTGAATAAACTTATGAAGATCAGAAATTATTTTCTACTCTCAATGATATTTCAGACCAAATATGGTTAAATCCATTGAAGCACTATGAAAAAGTAGCATTTTGAAGCAAAATGTTGACTAGCTTCCCCTTTTGGGGTGCCACGCCAAAGTCCCTAGGGGTTGAAATAACTTTCTGAATTTTTTTAATGATTCCCCAGTCTTAATGATGTTTCAGACCAAATCTGGTTGAAATCCATCCAAGCATTAAAAAGGAGTAGTGTTGTGAAGCAAAGTATTGTCTTATTTTCCCTTTTTGGGCCCCGCCCCCCCCCAAGTTCAAAGGGGTCCAATCAAATTTCTTAATTTAAGAAATAATAACAAAAGTTAACACATGATGCACGGCGGACGGCACATGATAACGGATGAAGCACGATAGCTGTAGGTCATTTTGACACTTCTGGTCAGATGATCTAAAACGTAAGATGATTTTAACTACGATGTACACATTATGCAAATGTAAATTTTGCATAACATTTATTGCTGTTTCATGCTAAGGTTTCTAATAAAGTTTGAATTACACTCAAAAACTGAATTTTCTTGTATAAAATCTTTGAAATTTGACCCATTTTTGATGATCAACCCTGGTCAGTATATAAATCTCATGAAACTGTCAGCTTATACTAATAATTTTGACAAAGTTTGAACTATTTCTAAAAGAAAATAAACAAATTATGCTAAAAAATGAAATGTAAACTACAGTAAATATGACCTCCTCCCAAGGCAAATAATGTGAGACTCTTGGGTCATGAATTTACAATTTTGGTAAAGCATCTAAAGGCCTTTCCATCCATAAAGAATATTTCATTTTATCCTACCTGGGATTTCACAAGAAGATTTTTGAAATTTCTATCAATTTGACTCGAAACTCAAGTAGAAATTGTTTAAAGTTTACAAAGCATGATCCATGACGCACAACCCATGATGCCCTATAAAAGAGGATCACAATATGTCTGATACTTGTCTCAAGTGACCTAAAAAGATTGTAGGAGAGATTATCATAATTTACACGAGTAGAGGAGGTCGAACCTGGGATGAATGGGTCGGAAACAGGAAATAGTGACCCCACGTCCATCCCCAGTTCGCCCCTTGTTGTAGAAGGCAGGCCAATCTACAGCCTCGCCACAGATAAACATTAAAAACTTCCGATTTACCTGTTGTACCTGTCCTTCAGCTATCCTTCTCATTTCCTGTCTCAGATTCTCCGATGTTGGCAGGTCCTGCACCAGTAAGATATAGTAAAATTTTTAATTTTGTGTAGGTAACAGCCAATCAAATGTCACACCATTTGTTTAATTAAAAGAGTACATTGTTTCCAACTACACCATCTTTACTTTAAGATTTTGAATTTAGTGACACCTGACTTTGGTAATATCTTATTTTACTGACATCTGACCTTACTGACACTAGACTTTACTAATACCTTACTTTATTGACACCACCAGACTTTAGAGACTGACAACAGACATAAAGGACATCTAATTTTACTGACACTAGACTTTACTAATACCTTACTTTATTGACACCACTAGACTTTAGAGACTGACAACAGACATAAAGGACATCTAATCTTACTGACACTAGACTTTACTAATACCTTACTTTATTGACACCACCAGACTTTAGAGACTGACAACAGACATAAAGGACATCTAATCTTACTGACACTAGACTTTACTAATACCTTACTTTATTGACACCACCAGACTTTAGAGACTGACAACAGACATAAAGGACATCTAATCTTACTGACACTAGACTTTACTAATACCTTACTTTATTGACACCACCAGACTTTAGAGACTGACAACAGACATAAAGGACATCTAATCTTACTGACACCAGACTTAACTGACACATGTTTTAAGGGACATCTAATCTTACTGACACCAGACTTAACTGACACATGACTTCACTAACAACAGACATAAAGGACATCTAATCTTACTGACACCAGACTTAACTGACACATGGCTTCACTGACAACAGACATAAAGGACATCTGAACTTACTGACACCAGACTTAACTGACACATGACTTCACTGACAACAGACATAAAGGACATCTAATCTAACTGACACCAGACTTAACTGACACATGTTTTAAGGGACATCTAATCTTACTGACACCAGACTTTACTGACACATGACTTCACTGACAACAGACGTAAAGGACATCTGACCTTACTGACACCAGACTTAACTGACACATGACTTCACTGACAACAGACGTAAAGGACATCTGACCTTACTGACACCAGACTTAACTGACACATGACTTCACTGACAACAGACATAAAGGACATCTAATCTTACTGACACCAGACTTAACTGACACATGTTTTAAGGGACATCTAATCTTACCGACACCAGACTTTACTGACACATGACTTCACTGACAACAGACGTAAAGGACATCTGACCTTACTGACACCAGACTTAACTGACACATGACTTCACTGACAACAGACGTAAAGGACATCTGACCTTACTGACACCAGACTTAACTGACACATGACTTCACTGACAACAGACATAAAGGACATCTAATCTTACTGACAACAGACATAAAGGACATCTTATCTTACTGACAACAGACATAAAGGACATCTGAACTTACTGACACCAGACTTTACTGATACCTGACATTGCTTACACCAGACATAAAGGACATCTGACCTTACTGACACCAGACTTAACTGACACATGACTTCACTAACAACAGACATAAAGGACATCTGACCTTACTGACACCAGACTTTACTGATACCTGACATTGCTTACACCAGACATAAAGGACATCTAATCTTACTGACACCAGACTTTACTGACACCTGACTTTGTTTACACCAGACTTAAAGGACATCTGACCTAATTGACACCAGACTTTACTGACACCTGACTTCACTGACAATTATGAAGGCTTAAATAATGTGTCCAAGAGTTAATGAACCCACAGCCAAATTGATGTGGTATGGTATAAAACCAAAGACCAAAACAAACTGACTGACTTAAATATACATTGTTTTATACAGATTATATGGGCAAGAAAACATCAGATTAACAGACAAGAGATCCCAGAGGGATCTTGGTGCCCACCATTGTTTGATCTTTATTTGCTTTTTGAAAAATGGATCTTTTTCAGTCTGTTCTCTTCACTGTTTTTGCTCTTAAAAAAGAAATTGGAACATTCCTTTGCAGAAATATTGATGATAATCTTTCCCTGCCAAATCCAAAATGGTTGTCTTAAAGCCATTTTGTTTCTTCCAATCAGTCCCAAAATCAAACAGGCACAAGAAGAGACCAAAGGGAACATATGTGTGAAATTTGTTTGAGAGATAAGCAATTAGTACTTCTCAAGAAATCCCATATGAAATTCAGGAAAGGTCCATCTAGAGATAACAAACTTTCAAAGTCAAAATCCAAGATGGCCGCATGTAGCCCATTTTGTTTTTCCCCATCAGACCCAAATCAAATGGGCATAACTAGGGGCCAAGGGAACCCTACATATGAAATTTGAGAGAGATCCATTGAGTACTTTTCAAGAAATAGTAATAACAAAAATTGTTTACGCACCGACGGACAACATACCATAGAAGTACAGTGATTTGAATAGCCCATCTTCTGATGATGGCGTGCTAAAAAGAGACATCAACTGATGTGAAAAGAACTATTATTGGACAAGCAACACGAACAGAAAAGATTCGTTAACAGATGTGAAAACAAAAAATAAAATTTACATTAATAGATGTGATATTAACTGGAAATCACTACACTTAAACAAGTTGAGAGTGAAACTAAAAAAAACCCATGTTATTTTCTGCGTTCCAGCACACTGTTACTCACCATGACGTAGAGCTTAGTAACTTTGTACAGCCTGGTGGCACATGACATGTGAATGGTCGAGCTAGGATCAACTCCATTTTTCTCTAGAACATCAGCAACTATGTCCAGAAGTTTCTACAAGAAGATCAATGCCAGGAGTATAAAGTCACAGGAGAGTCCAAGTGGTTATGATAAAATCACATAAAAATTAAATATTAATCCTTTTCATTTGCTTGTGACTCTAAGAACAAGACAAGAATTCATTCTAACGTGTTTGTTGTCTCTAATAAGACAGAACATTTATTACCTGTTTGTGTCTCTCAGAATGAGACAACATCATTCTCACATGTTTGCATCTCATAGAATAAGAACTAAGGAACCATTCTCACCTGTTTGTGTCTTTCAGAACGAGATAAACGTTGTTGTTCCATTGTATCTTTGCTGGATGCTGAGCTTTTCCTTCTATTTTCTGACCCCGATAGTGATAACCTGCTTGTTTTTGACACAGTAGGCTCCTTAGAGTGACCTCCCCTTATAGCAGGTTCATAAAGTGAGTGGCGTCGCTGAGAAGAGATCTGAGATGAGGACTTGCGTGGCGATCTCCTTAAAGATAAGAACTCTGCACTTGTTTGGCTCGGGGATGTTTGTTTATCTAACTCAACTTGTTTAGAAAGAGACAAACTTTTTCTGGGAGATCGTCTTATGTTCAGCTCTACTGCTTTTGCTGCTGGATTTTTTCGAGGTGATTTTCTTGAAGTCTTTAGTGGAGATTTTACTGATGGTTTCATTCCTTCATGAGATTTTAATCTCTTTGCACTCTTTTGCGGGCTTGAGATCTTTTTCCTCTTCTTCCCCAAATTAAAGGTCGGAACAAAACAGGAGCTGTTAGTTTCATCAGTAATGTAACGTTCCTGTAACTTCTGTTTATGACTGTCAAGTCTCTCACCTTTCTTGTCTTTGTTTAAACTGTTAACAAGAGTTAAACTTAGTAATTAGCTAAGTCATCTTTTTATCAACTTTACGGACAGTGGTGATTTAAACAATGATATCATGGGCTGTGACAGCTCAGGCAGTTAAAGCAATGGCCTTCACAGTCTCAGGTGAAGATATGAGGTGCATGGTCTCATACTCCCTAACTGTGAAGGTATTTGCTTCTCGGGAAGAAACAGACTGGCTGTGTTTTCATGGTTGTGTCCCTGTGCAAGACACTTTACCCTTATTGCACTGGGTGGCATGCGACAGACCTCCCATAGGTTGATCTGAAAGGTAACCACCCTGCTATCCCTGGCTGTTCATGGGGCCAACAAATAAATAACTAGGTGAACCGGTAAATTAAGACAACTATACAGAATCAACCAGATGGTTTATCTAGAATATGCATTATGGCTGCAAAAGCAGCAGGTCCTTCAGTAAAATGAGGGTCATCAGGAAATAGGCCACAGCTGATATAATCTTAAATGCCCTTACTATATATCATGACAGCAAGACTGTAGATAAGTAGGAATGGTTTCCTGTCCAAGGTCTTCAGAGTTGGGCACAACTGACTTCCTGCATCTCCCTTGCCTCTGTGAAGACCATAACAACTATGTTAGTATACATCACACAAGCAGTCAAAAGATATTTGCTTCCTTATATATCAATGGTCTGAGCAATAGTATTAACAGTAAGCAAAGGGCCTTGACTCTGTATATAACCTGACAAATAGTAAGAAAAGTGTTGTAACTCTGTATATATCCTAGTAAACAATAAACAAAGGGTCAAAATACAGTATATACCTATAATATTGTCCTATGAGCTCACCTTTTTCCTGATTGGAGACAGGTTTTCCATGGTTGCTGTACCATCTGGTTTGAAGAGTTTCAGCAGATCTTTAATATCGATGGATGTAGGCTCTTTCACAATACAAGTGGATACAATTAATCAACGTAAACACAGTTTCACTTGAGCAACCATTATATTTATAAAACAGATATAAATATGAAGAGATTTATACCTTGAGCATTTCTTAACAATTACTGCATGTATTCAGACATTAAAGATTTAAAGATTGTTTGAACAAAATAATTATTTAGAGGATTACATCAAAATATCAATGAAACATGTTTAGAAGCTATGACTTACTTACCCAGTTTAAGGCAGGAAATAGGGGATGATTATTTTACATTTTTTCACAAAGATTTACTTACCTTGGGCAGGCTGTACAAGGGATGATAACTTCAAAAAAAGATTTACCTACCTTTAGCTGGCTGTATTGGGGATGATTATTTCTAAAAGATTTACCTACATCTGACAGACTGTACTGGGGATGATTATTTCTAAAAGATTGACCTATGTTTGGCCGGCTGTATTGGGGATGATTCTTTCTAAAAGATTTACCTACCTTTAGCTGGCTGTATTGGGGATGACAAAGCGACACTATCTGTTGACTGAAGTCGACTCAATGTTCGCCTTTGAGATTCACAATAGATGAGCAACTGCCTTTCCTGCCATTCAGTTGGATTGGTTTCTACTTCTTTAAACAAAAGTTTGTCATTTACTCTAAATATTAAGGGACACAATCAAAACTGATCCAATACACTGAAATATATTGAAAGCTAAAAACCACAGAGGTAAGGCTAACAACCACAGAGGTAAGGCTAACAACCACAGAGGTAAGGCTAACAACCACAGAGGTCAGACTAACAACCATGGAGGTAAGGCTTACAACCACAAAGGTAAGCTAACAACCACAGAGGTCAGACTAACAAGTAGAGGTAAGGCTAACAAGTACAGAGGTCAGACTAACAACTATGGAGGTAAGGCTAACAACCATGGAGGTAAGGCTAACAACCATTGTATCTTTGTATTTGTCATCACCTAACCCTTTTCATACCGATTTCAACTTAATCAGATAATATATGCTTCATTTTGACCATATCAAAAGCTTCCAATATATTTCCATGGTAATGCTTTTTGAACATTTATTGTGTCAAATTATAGGTTATAATTAGCTATAGCACTTGATCAAGTTTAAGTAAAATCAATGAAAAGGCTAAGAATTATGGCACTTACAATAATAACTTGACATTAGTGAATTGGTTACCATTACAACACTAATTTCTACATGCACATTTTCACATTTATACATAGTCCCTAACATTCCTGTGTAGTTTCATGAAAATCAGTCCACAATCTCAGGAGCAGCCTGGAAAAGAGCTGTCTAATATTTGAGCTTCTATGGTTACCATAGCAACCAAATGACATCAGATGCTTTAGAAAATGGTACCATGGGAAATGCCTTTCCTCAAAACCCTCAGCCTCATATTTCAATTTTCAGCACAATCGGACAATATTTCAGTTCTGACCAATAAGAAAAATCATATTTCCATAGTAACAGTTCTAGAAACACCAGATGTGTCATATTAAAGGCATTGATATGCTACACTATTTGACCAAGTTTCAATGAAATTGATCAAAGAGGTCCACATTGACCTTTGGCTTAACTTGCCCAATGACCACCAAAATTTAGTCAGTAGTAGGGCTATACATATAATTTGTTTGTTTCAAAAGAAAATTGAGAAAATTTTGACAATGTTGACTGTTATAAATTACAACCTATATAATAAACAAATTGTAATTGAGAAAGAGCAACATGGTTCCTGTTCATCAGTAGCAAAAATATGATATGGCTAAAACTAGATATTCTGGCTTTCACATTAAATGGCCCAATCTACATGTTTTATACTCTGTATGAAGGATGCATTTTTCATGCTAATGATGAAACAGTTTTACTTTTTACTTGATTTTAATAATGACATTTTTAGGTACATTGTAATGACATTTAGTATGTGATGATGCCCTTGGTAAAAAGAACAGTTTTTACCTGATAATGCACCAGCTGTCTGAACAGTTCGTAAAGAATCACAGCTAGGTTGAAATTTAGGTAATTCACCCCATAAGCTGCAACGAAGGTCTGTATAGATGCTTTTAAAGAAATCCTTGATCTCACTTAGCTTGACTTTCAATTCTTGATCCTGGTGTTCACTTTTTTCTCCTGAAATTACAGAAGATACTTCTTACGGTATTAGAAAATTAAAAAAACATAACAAGAGGCTAAATGGGCCTGCAACGCTCCCCTGATATTCAATGTGTTTTCACATATAAAGAAGCATTTTACACTACTGATATTAAAAAATCTTTGTAAAAGAGAATTTGTTAGAAGGTTATAACAAATTTGACAACTGTGACCATGAATATGGCTCAAGGTCATTTCTTTTTTGGAATCTAAGATGAACATTGCAGAAATCTATTAGTATCCTAGGCATTTTTGATGAATTTTAGATGAAATCATCTGAAGTTTTAGCAAAATTTGGTTCATCAGACCTTGAATATTGGTCAGGGTCATTTCATCTAAAAGAATCATACAACTTTGAGAAGAGGTTTTACTGTATATATAAAAAATACATTTTGGCATTGTCTATTTGATATTTTTGCTTCAATTTAAAATGGTGACTGTGTTTATGTGTATATTGGATGGTCTAGAACTTACTCAGCCATTGATGTAGTAATTCTGTCTGTTTTTGCCACAGAATTCTGTTAAACTCCTCCAGCATCTCTGCATCAAGGGCAGGTAACTCTGATAAAATAACACCACTGTTTACATCACCAACAACAGTACTATCCATATCACATGGTCGTACAATATCACTGTCAGCAGTACCAATCTGACCACATGGTTGTACAGCATTCTTAAACAGCAGGGTCATCAGAGAACCATTCAAATTTTCTGGAGGGCAAAGTCTAGTGACTGTCAAACTTTGATGCTCTGATAATGGTTGCTGTGGTGACGAAATAAGGAAATAGAGATAGCTGTACCCACTTAGTAATTCTTCCTCTGGCTCTGAAACAACAAACCCTAACTATGACTCACTTTCTTTTGAGGCAAGTAATTTTCTTGTTTTCTGAATCAAAATAAACATATTTTATTTGATGCAATTTTAGTGTATTATCACTTTTTGGCAAAAAAGTGCAGCAATGAATTAGTACATCCACAATGATTGCTAAATAACATTTGAAACTGCTATTAATGCCATAATGTTTTAGCACAACATTTTCAGTGGGAAAATCATTAAACCAATGTACATCTAAAGTGTATAAGATAATTGTTCAAATTATTGTCATAGTCTTAACTTTCGCAAAATGTTTCTATTGAGAAACTGATAAAGTAAATTGCACATGAAAATAACTTGATTCACAGTAAATCATGAAAATGTTGGTATCTCAGGGATTAAATTAACACCAATTCCATTGATAAGTTCCATTTAAATATCCTATAACATGGACAAAATGAACTTTTCTCACACTACACTTCTCTGGCAGGGCAAGCAGACATTTGGACAATCTACCAAAAGAGAGGTGAGTAGTGGCAGAAAGGTTGGAAGTCCCTTTGTCCTTTGTTTGGATACCAAATAGAATGTAAAGAGTCTCTCTGTACGATATACTACCACAGGACAATTAAGTATATAAAGTGTCTCTCTGTACTACAAATACCACAGGAAAATTAAGTATATAAAGTGTCTCTTTGTACTACAAATACCACAGGACTATTAAGTATATAAAGTGTCTCTCTGTACGATAAACTACCACAGGACTATTCAGTACATAAAGTGTCTCTCTGTACGATAAACTACCACAGGACAATTAAGTATATAAAGTGTCTCTCTGTACTACAAACTACCACAGGACAATTAAGTATATAAAGTATATAAAGTGTCTCTCTGTACAAATACAAATACCAGTAGGAGTGTCTCTCTATTAAAGTATATAAAGTGTCTCTTTGTACTACAAACTACCACAGGACAATTAAGTATATAAAGTGTCTCTCTGTACTACAAATACCACAGGAAAATTAAGTATGTAAAGTGTCTCTCTGTACTACAAATACCACAGGACTATTAAGTATATAAAGTGTCTCTCTGTACTACAAATACCACAGGACAATTAAGTATATAAAGTGTCTCTCTGTACTACAAACTACCACAGGACAATTAAGTATATAAAGTGTCTCTTTGTACTACAAACTACCACAGGACAATTAAGTATATAAAGTGTCTCTCTGTACTACAAATACCACAGGACAATTAAGTATATAAAGTGTCTCTTTGTACTACACACTACCACAGGACAATTCAGTATATAAAGTGTCTCTCTGTACGATAAACTACCACAGGACTATTCAGTATATAAAGTGTCTCTCTGTACTACAAATACCACAGGACAATTAAGTATATAAAGTGTCTCTTTGTACTACAAACTACCACAGGACAATTAAGTATATAAAGTGTCTCTTTGTATCTTTGTATATACAAACTCTACCACAGGACAATTAAGTATATAAAGTGTCTCTCTGTACTACAAACTACCACAGGACAATTAAGTATATAAAGTGTCTCTCTGTACTACAAATACCACAGGACAATTAAGTATATAAAGTGTCTCTTTGTACTACAAACTACCACAGGACAATTAAGTATATAAAGTGTCTCTACAAACTACCACAGGACAATTAAGTATATAAAGTGGCTCTCTGTACACTACCACAGGACAATTCAGTATATAAAGTGTCTCTCTGTACTACACACTACCACAGGACTATTCAGTATGTAAAGTGACTCTCTGTACTACAAATACCACAGGACAATTAAGTATATAAAGTGTCTCTCTGTACTACAAATACCACAGGACAATTCAGTATATAAAGTGACTCTCTGTACTACAAACTACCACAGGACAATTCAGTATACAGTGTCTCTCTGTACTACAAATACCACAGGACAATTCAGTATGTAAAGTGTCTCTCTGTACTACAAACTACCACAGGACAATTCAGTATATATAGTGTCTCACTAACTATTACTACATACTAACAGCCTTTTTAGATATGTACTTAAATTGTCTTACAATTACAATCTATCTTGAATTAGCTATTGATGATGTCATAATACAACCTATTGTTTATGACCTCACAATTCCTGCCATTCTTACTGATGTCACTATGCAGAATGATAGAATGAATATTAAACAGTAAACAAACTCATCAACAATTCTACAGTCATGCTGACAAATATTTGCTGTCAAGTTGTCCTGATTAAGGCCAATGTTCAGGCAACACCAATACACACAAGATAACCAGTCACTAGTCTGTACCTCATTTTATGACATTTTATGTTACAGTTCATCACAAGAATGCGTTATATGGATAGATTTAGTCAAACGTGGTCAAATTCCTAACCATAAATAGGATATAATGATAAACAAAGGAATTCCATTGGACTGTTTATATTTACCAGGGAAAATCCAAGTGGTTTGATCATGTACAGTTGACCATTGTTCTTTCAAATACGACAGGACTGTTGAAAAAGTTTGAGTCGTCACAGTATTCAATTTAAGTGAGATTAAATGTCTGGTGAAAAGTTTTGCAGGGATAGACAAAACACTTCAAACTAAACAGTCTTCAAGTGATATGAGAGCGGGATAACGAGGTTCAACTGTACATTGTATTTTAAAATTATTTGTCTAAAGTGTCTAAAGATCTCATCCTCACCCTGTACGAACATGATATCTGACATGATGCTCTCCTTCCAGGTGGCGCTGTTCAGATATCGATTGTGATTGGATGAACAGTCGTCAAGTGGTTTCTGATAACAGGCCAGTCGTGCCACGATTCCTAGCTGTGATAAAAGTATGCTTTAAACAATATACTTGTACAGGTACACCTTGTGTTTCCAGTTTGTGGGTACGTTAATTCTTTTCCTATTTTTGACTTGTAATTTGTACAAAGTGAAAAAAATATTTTTTTTTTAATTTTCTTTGATTTCGTGGGTTCTCTTAATCAATTCATCCAACCATGAAATGATAATCTTTTAAGAATGGCAAAGAATTTTTACTACTGCATATTCTGTGAACACTATTTATCCACAAAAACTTGTTTTTTTTCAAACTAAATGACATCTTTAAGAGAAGTATTTTCTATGTTTGTTGACAACATACCTGATGGTCAGCTGTCACCTGGTCCACAAAGGCAATGGAGTGAGGATGGGAATCAGCAAGACATCTGTATAATAGCTAAGAAACACTGTCTTCTTTTTTTTCTAATTATTTAGGAATGACAGAACAGCCTACGAACAAAAACTGATTCCTACTTGATCATTCTGTAGATGTTCTAAAATTGGTCTTTTCATTATCATTATGTTTTATCAGACACGTGACACAGATCATTAGGACCAAGAAATTCAGGACAAAAAAGTCCAAAATTAAACAACATCAAACAAACTAAAAAACATTAAAGACTGATGACAAAACACTCACATAAAAAAATACAAACAACGTATGTTTCAACAAGAAGTTTTTGTATACAGGTTTTCACAAAAATCTTTGAAGTAAAGTTTCTCAGTATCCCTAAGTGACACTGGACTCGGAAAACTGCAATTGTGTATGTGCTGGATGTATTGAGGTGTCAACTATTGAATGTACTTTACCAAGTTTGATTGAAAAAGACATGAAATGTCTATGGATGGAACAAGGATGTCAGCGCAAAACTCTGAAAGAAATGCTGACACTGCCATTGCTATTTATAAAGTAACATTTGAGTTTCACACAACTTTTCTTCACAGGCGAGATGATAATCATATAACTCATCATTGATATCAAACCTCAGCTTCTGACTATTTTTCATTTTTGCCTTATTATGAATGAAAGTTAAAATGCAGTGAAAGATTTCCAGTAGGGAGATTTTTATCATGACACCAATTTCAGATAAAAAAAACCCCCACTAAACATCTATTCTATTTATAAAATGCATTTGATTGTCATAGATGGTCTTTATAAGTGGTTATAGAAACACGCAGTACCAAGACCCTACTGCTAATGGTTCAATACAAGGCTATCCAGAGCAATGGTATCTACAACAGGAATAACTTTTAAGAGGATAATTTTCTATAATATTATCAGTATTTTCTGTATTAATAATAGTGAAAAGATACAGTTTGTACCTCTCTTTAGTACACATGTAGAGGGGAATGGTTCCCACATCAACCTCATCCAGAACCTCCAACATCCGGCCCCATACCAATGAATCCTCTTTCTACAAATAAACATAAATGCTTTATTTTACTTTACCAGTCACCTTATTCAACACTATTTATCTTAAAGTTAATATATCTCTTATTGCATGTATGGGTAGTCAGAAGACACAGTGGTAAAACACACTCCATTTACCTGGACGTCCAGGGTTTGATACACCGAATGGATGTGAAAAGGCATGGGGTCACCTGCCCGACCAGGTGTCTTTTCCCCAAGTATTCCCGTTTCCTTCCACAGTAAAACTCCTCGATCACTTCCATTCAGGCCAACAAGACTGATTAATGTAGGCAGATAGCTTGTTTTGGGATTGTTGTAGAAAGAATAAAGTTTATGTTTAATACCTGAAAGTGATCATTAGCTGGTACCGGGTAGTTATAAAAATAAGATGTCTTTGTCTATATCACTCAGGGGTAATATATTACATACCACATCATATCCATCACTCTTCTTCACTACAAATCCAGGCAACACATAACCTCTTTGTACCTGAAAGAAAAATTACAAATCAGAAAATTTCACGGTAAAAAATATCAAGGATTAAAAAATGAAACAACTATGAACTAGAGACATGATTAATAATTCAAATCAGACCTGCCTGATAATCTAGGCTGTGTAAATTCACAATATTGTTAAGGCTGTTCTTGTTTAGGGATTTTACTTTTCAACATTTTTGAGGAAGGATCTACAGTGGTTTTAATTACTCAAAAAAAAAATATCCCAGAGGGGTGTTAGCACCCACCATTGTTTGATCTTTATTTGTTCTATAAAAGTTGGATCTTTCCCTTCTTTTCTCTTCTCTCTTCTGTTTTTGCTCTTAAATTATACAAAATCTAAACATTCCTATGAAGAAATAACCATAACAAACTATCACTGTTGAAATCCAAGATGGCCGTCTATCTTCCAGTTTTTCTTTTACTGGTCAGTCCCAAAATCAAATGAGCACAACTGCAGACCAAGAGGAACTATAAAGTATTTGAGAAAGATCCATCCCGTACTTTTCAGGAAATAGCAAACACAAACTTTCAGGCCTGTTTTGTTTTTCCCAACTAACCCAAATTCAAATTGGCACCACTAGTGACCAAAAAGAAGCTAGATATGAAATTTAAGAAAGATCCATTCAGCACTTTTCAAGAATTATCCTAACAAAAATTGTTTATGGACAGATAGACTGACCACAGATGAAGGGTGATTTTAATATCTGATGATACTGGGCTAAAAACATTAAATCCTCAGAAAAACAATGTGCTTGAGACTTCTGATTTCTTGAAAAATAAAAAAAAGGCATCAGTGATTAGACAAAGTCATTGCTGTCTTCTGAGGAGCTTGCATCTTGGAAAAAAGTGAACTGAGTGCATGCAGTGGCTGACTAGTGTAGCACCATGTCTGCCCTGTAAATCTATAAAGTAAATACTAACCGTCTTGTCAATCACAGAGATTTTACCACGCCATATATCTTCCCAGTTACTTCCAAAATCTTCAAAACAGCCTGCTGATTTTGCTTTAACAAAGTCACATAGTTGTCGGCGACTGTCTGCTAACACCGGATCAAGGTCAGACAGCAGTGCTGGATGTACCACTGTGGTAACCGATGCATTAAACCACTCTTTCAAATGTCCCAGGGCACCACACAATGACAGCACACTCTCAGGGCTAGAAAACATTCATACATTGTATATAAACAAGTGTTATCTGTCATACATTGTATATAAACAATTGTTATCTGTCATACATTGTATATAAACAAGTGTTATCTGTCATACATTGTATATAAACAATTGTTATCTGTCATACATTGTATATAAACAAGTGTTATCTGTCATACATTGTATATAAACAATTGTTATCTGTCATACATTGTATATAAACAAGTGTTATCTGTCATACATTGTATATAAACAATTGTTATCTGTCGTACATTGTATATAAACAATTGTTATCTGTCGTACATTGTATATCAACAATTGTTATCTGTCGTACATTGTATATTGTATACAAACAATTGTTATCTGTCGTACATTGTATACAAACAAGTATTATCTGTCGTACATTGTATACAAACAAGTGTTATCTGTCGTACATTGTATACAAACAAGTGTTATCTGTCGTACATTGTATACAAACAAGTGTTATCTGTCGTACATTGTATACAAACAAGTGTTATCTGTCATACATTGTATACAAACAAGTGTTATCTGTCATACATGTTATCTGTCATACATTGTATACAAACAAGTGTTATCTGTCATACATTGTATACAAACAAGTGTTATCTGTCATACATTGTATACAAGCAATTGTTATCTGTTGTACATTGTATACAAGTGTTATCTGTCGTACATTGTATACAAACAAGTGTTATCTGTCATACATTGTATACAAACAAGTGTTATCTGTCATACATTGTATACAAACAATTGTTATCTGTCATACATTGTATACAAACAATTGTTATCTGTCATACATTGTATACAAACAAGTGTTATCTGTCGTACAGTGTATATGTTAATGAGCAGATAATCATAAGACATATACTGGTATATAAAATCATCCTCTTATGTATTTTCAGATGTTAAGTTGTCATCGCTATTTGTGCTAAAGATTAAACATCTTCTCAAAATGTATCCATACCAAACTTATAAATCTCATTCTGAACATACACTGACAAACTCTTCAGTATCTCATATATCAAAACTTTCAAAAATTACAAGTCCAATAAATAAATCTGTTGTTTTGTCTGTTCTTACTCCTGTACATGGGGCTTAGTGTGGGAACTGCCAGCCAATAACATCATAACATTATCCTGTACATGGGGCTTAGTGTGGGGAACTGCCAGCCAATAACATCATAACATTATCCTGTACATGGGGGCTTAGTGTGGGGAACTGCCAGCCAATAACATCATAACATTATCCTGTACATGGGGGCTTAGTGTGGGGAACTGCCAGCCAATAACATCATAACATTATCCTGTACATGGGGGCTTAGTGTGGGGAACTGCCAGCCAATAACATCATAACATTATCCTGTACATGGGGGCTTAGTGTGGGAACTGCCAGCCAATAACATCATAACATTATCCTGTACATGGGGCTTAGTGTAGGAACTGCCAGCCAATAACATCATAACATTATCCTGTACATGGGGCTTAGTGTGGGAACTGCCAGCCAATAACATCATAACATTATCCTGTACATGGGGGCTTAGTGTGGGAACTGCCAGCCAATAACATCATAACATTATCCTGTACATGGGGCTTAGTGTGGGAACTGCCAGCCAATAACATCATAACATTATCCTGTACATGGGGCTTAGTGTGGGAACTGCCAGCCAATAACATCATAACATTATCCTGTACATGGGGCTTAGTGTGGGGAACTGCCAGCCAATAACATCATAACATTATCCTGTACATGGGGCTTAGTGTGGGGAACTGCCAGCCAATAACATCATAACATTATCCTGTACATGGGGCTTAGTGTGGGGAACTGCCAGCCAATAACATCATAACATTATCCTGTACATGGGGGCTTAGTGTGGGGAACTGCCAGCCAATAACATCATAACATTATCCTGTACATGGGGGCTTAGTGTGGGGAACTGCCAGCCAATAACATCATAACATTATCCTGTACATGGGGGCTTAGTGTGGGGAACTGCCAGCCAATAACATCATAACATTATCCTGTACATGGGGGCTTAGTGTGGGGAACTGCCAGCCAATAACATCATAACATTATCCTGTACATGGGGCTTAGTGTGGGGGCTGTACATGGGGGCTTAGTGTGGGGAACTGCCAGCCAATAACATCATAACATTATCCTGTACATGGGGGCTTAGTGTGGGGAACTGCCAGCCAATAACATCATAACATTATCCTGTACATGGGGCTTAGTGTGGGAACTGCCAGCCAATAACATCATAACATTATCCTGTACATGGGGCTTAGTGTGGGAACTGCCAGCCAATAACATCATAACATTATCCTGTACATGGGGCTTAGTGTGGGAACTGCCAGCCAATAACATCATAACATTATCCTGTACATGGGGCTTAGTGTGGGAACTGCCAGCCAATAACATCATAACATTATCCTGTACATGGGGCTTAGTGTGGGAACTGCCAGCCAATAACATCATAACATTATCCTGTACATGGGGCTTAGTGTGGGAACTGCCAGCCAATAACATCATAACATTATCCTGTACATGGGGCTTAGTGTGGGAACTGCCAGCCAATAACATCATAACATTATCCTGTACATGGGGGCTTAGTGTGGGGAACTGCCAGCCAATAACATCATAACATTATCCTGTACATGGGGCTTAGTGTGGGAACTGCCAGCCAATAACATCATAACATTATCCTGTACATGGGGCTTAGTGTGGGGAACTGCCAGCCAATAACATCATAACATTATCCTGTACATGGGGCTTAGTGTGGGGAACTGCCAGCCAATAACATCATAACATTATCCTGTACATGGGGCTTAGTGTGGGAACTGCCAGCCAATAACATCATAACATTATCCTGTACATGGGGCTTAGTGTGGGGAACTGCCAGCCAATAACATCATAACATTATGTACATGGGGCTTAGTGTGGGAACTGCCAGCCAATAACATCATAACATTATCCTGTACATGGGGGCTTAGTGTGGGGAACTGCCAGCCAATAACATCATAACATTATCCTGTACATGGGGCTTAGTGTGGGGAACTGCCAGCCAATAACATCATAACATTATCCTGTACATGGGGCTTAGTGTGGGGAACTGCCAGCCAATAACATCATAACATTATCCTGTACATGGGGGCTTAGTGTGGGGAACTGCCAGCCAATAACATCATAACATTATCCTGTACATGGGGCTTAGTGTGGGGAACTGCCAGCCAATAACATCATAACATTATCCTGTACATGGGGCTTAGTGTAGGAACTGCCAGCCAATAACATCATAACATTATCCTGTACATGGGGCTTAGTGTGGGGAACTGCCAGCCAATAACATCATAACATTATCCTGTACATGGGGCTTAGTGTGGGAACTGCCAGCCAATAACATCATAACATTATCCTGTACATGGGGCTTAGTGTGGGGAACTGCCAGCCAATAACATCATAACATTATCCTGTACATGGGGCTTAGTGTGGCAACTGTTATCCTGTACATGGGGCTTAGTGTGGGAACTGCCAGCCAATAACATCATAACATTATCCTGTACATGGGGCTTAGTGTGGGAACTGCCAGCCAATAACATCATAACATTATCCTGTACATGGGGCTTAGTGTGGGGAACTGCCAGCCAATAACATCATAACATTATCCTGTACATGGGGCTTAGTGTGGGAACTGCCAGCCAATAACATCATAACATTATCCTGTACATGGGGCTTAGTGTGGGGAACTGCCAGCCAATAACATCATAACATTATCCTGTACATGGGGCTTAGTGTGGGAACTGCCAGCCAATAACATCATAACATTATCCTGTACATGGGGCTTAGTGTGGGAACTGCCAGCCAATAACATCATAACATTATCCTGTACATGGGGCTTAGTGTGGGGAACTGCCAGCCAATAACATCATAACATTATCCTGTACATGGGGCTTAGTGTGGGAACTGCCAGCCAATAACATCATAACATTATCCTGTACATGGGGCTTAGTGTGGGAACTGCCAGCCAATAACATCATAACATTATCCTGTACATGGGGCTTAGGGAACTGCCAGCCAATAACATCATAACATTATCCTGTACATGGGGCTTAGTGTGGGAACTGCCAGCCAATAACATCATAACATTATCCTGTACATGGGGCTTAGTGTGGGAACTGCCAGCCAATAACATCATAACATTATCCTGTACATGGGGGCTTAGTGTGGGAACTGCCAGCCAATAACATCATAACATTATCCTGTACATGGGGCTTAGTGTGGGAACTGCCAGCCAATAACATCATAACATTATCCTGTACATGGGGCTTAGTGTGGGAACTGCCAGCCAATAACATCATAACATTATCCTGTACATGGGGGCTTAGTGTGGGAACTGCCAGCCAATAACATCATAACATTATCCTGTACAGCCACTGCCAGCCAATAACATCATAACATTATCCTGTACATGGGGCTTAGTGTGGGAACTGCCAGCCAATAACATCATAACATATCCTGTACATGGGGCTTAGTTGGGGGAATCCAGCCAATAACATCATAACATTATCCTGTACATGGGGCTTAGTGTGGGAACTGCCAGCCAATAACATCATAACATTATCCTGTACATGGGGCTTAGTGTGGGAACTGCCAGCCAATAACATCATAACATTATCCTGTACATGGGGCTTAGTGTGGGAACTGCCAGCCAATAACATCATAACATTATCCTGTACATGGGGCTTAGTGTGGGAACTGCCAGCCAATAACATCATAACATTATCCTGTACATGGGGCTTAGTGTGGGAACTGCCAGCCAATAACATCATAACATTATCCTGTACATGGGGCTTAGTGTGGGAACTGCCAGCCAATAACATCATAACATTATCCTGTACATGGGGCTTAGTGTGGGAACTGCCAGCCAATAACATCATAACATTATCCTGTACATGGGGCTTAGTGTGGGAACTGCCAGCCAATAACATCATAACATTATCCTGTACATGGGGCTTAGTGTGGGAACTGCCAGCCAATAACATCATAACATTATCCTGTACATGGGGCTTAGTGTGGGAACTGCCAGCCAATAACATCATAACATTATCCTGTACATGGGGCTTAGTGTGGGAACTGCCAGCCAATAACATCATAACATTATCCTGTACATGGGGCTTAGTGTGGGAACTGCCAGCCAATAACATCATAACATTATCCTGTACATGGGGCTTAGTGTGGGAACTGCCAGCCAATAACATCATAACATTATCCTGTACATGGGGCTTAGTGTGGGAACTGCCAGCCAATAACATCATAACATTATCCTGTACATGGGGCTTAGTGTGGGAACTGCCAGCCAATAACATCATAACATTATCCTGTACATGGGGCTTAGTGTGGGGAACTGCCAGCCAATAACATCATAACATTATCCTGTACATGGGGGCTTAGTGTGGGAACTGCCAGCCAATAACATCATAACATTATCCTGTACATGGGGGCTTAGTGGGGGGAACTGCCAGCCAATAACATCATAACATTATCCTGTACATGGGGCTTAGTGTGGGAACTGCCAGCCAATAACATCATAACATTATCCTGTACATGGGGCTTAGTGTGGGAACTGCCAGCCAATAACATCATAACATTATCCTGTACATGGGGCTTAGTGTGGGGAACTGCCAGCCAATAACATCATAACATTATCCTGTACATGGAGGCTTAGTGTGGGGAACTGCCAGCCAATAACATCATAACATTATCCTGTACATGGGGCTTAGTGTGGGGAACTGCCAGCCAATAACATCATAACATTATCCTGTACATGGGGGCTTAGTGTGGGGAACTGCCAGCCAATAACATCATAACATTATCCTGTACATGGGGGCTTAGTGTGGGGAACTGCCAGCCAATAACATCATAACATTATCCTGTACATGGAGGCTTAGTGTGGGGAACTGCCAGCCAATAACATCATAACATTATCCTGTACATGGGGGCTTAGTGTGGGGAACTGCCAGCCAATAACATCATAACATTATCCTGTACATGGGGGCTTAGTGTGGGGAACTGCCAGCCAATAACATCATAACATTATCCTGTACATGGGGGCTTAGTGTGGGGAACTGCCAGCCAATAACATCATAACATTATCCTGTACATGGGGGCTTAGTGTGGGGAACTGCCAGCCAATAACATCATAACATTATCCTGTACATGGGGGCTTAGTGTGGGGAACTGCCAGCCAATAACATCATAACATTATCCTGTACATGGGGGCTTAGTGTGGGGAACTGCCAGCCAATAACATCATAACATTATCCTGTACATGGGGGCTTAGTGTGGGGAACTGCCAGCCAATAACATCATAACATTAGAGTGGAAGAGCAGATAACAAGCAACAATTTTTCACTGGTCTGCAGTGACCTCATATTAGATGTGTAAAACATATAAAGTTTAATACAAAGTCAGAAGCATACACATACAGAACAAGCATGTGTATAATTACTGTCATACCTTCCTTGGAGTTCTCTGGGAAATTCTAAAATGATGTCAACCAGAATTCCTGAAACACCAAAAGGTCAACGGGCCTTATCAGTCACCTAATTTACAATACTGCTATTCATCTTGTATCATGTCACAGAAATAATCTTGTTGATAAAGTAAGATAACTTGAACTAATTATAGAGAGGGAATAATAAACGCAACATACTCAAGCATTACCATTTAGTAGAAACTTATTTACCAGTTTCAACCTTGTCGCAAGGTCTTCATCAGGACTATAGATGTAAACTAACATCCCATGCTAAAGTTTATTACCACGTTTGATTTAAAAGAAAATTACACCCAAAAATGTAATTTTTCTATACAAACTCTTCCATCCATGAACAATATTTAATCAAATCTATCATATCTGCACATTGATCGTAAGAAGGTCTTCGAAATTTAAGTCAATTTGACCCCTTTTGACCCTGTCCATCAGATCATGTAATTTACAATTTTGGTGCATCTTTGGCCAATCATTTGTGATTTCAACCTTGTGACTTACTGTAGCAATTAAATTACCTGTTACTTGTAATGTGTCTGTAATTTGGAACAATTTTTCAGTTAGACTGATACTATTTCTGAAAAAGAAAACAAGCCATAAGAGACACATGGGCAGTATCTGTCATCTAACTATAAAGTCCTGTCAGTGATACAAGAGACACATGGGCAGTATCTGTCACCTAACTATTAAGTCCTGTCAGTGATACAAGAGACACATGGGCAGTATCTGTCACTATAAAGTCCTGTCAGTGATACAAGTGACACATGGACAGTATCTGTCATCTAACTATAAAGCCCTGTCAGTGATACAAGAGACACATGGGCAGTATCTGTCATCTAACTATAAAGTCCTGTCAGTGATACAAGAGACACATGGGCAGTATCTGTCATCTAACTATAAAGTCCCGTCAGTGATACAAGAGACACATGGGCAGTATCTGTCATCTAACTATAAAGTCCTGTCAGTGATACAAGAGACACATGGGCAGTATCTGTCACCTAACTGTAAAGTCCTGTCAGTAATACAAGAGACACATGGGCAGTATCTGTCACTATAAAGTCCTGTCTGTGATACAAGAGACACATGGGCAGTATCTGTCATCTAACTATAAAGTCCTGTCAGTGATACAAGAGACACATGGGCAGTAACTGTCACCTAACTATAAAGTCCTGTCTATGACAGTATACCAATACTGGAAGTGTAAACAATGATTAAATGATTAATTCAGAATATTTTAGCAGTTAAGATAACAAAATTAAACAACAACATTTTCTTCTTTTCATTTCCTTAACATTCCCACCTTATTTCACTTTAACTGCTGAACTGGAAATGAAGTTAAAAAATGTGTTTTTCCATGGTGACCATTTTGGATTTCAGACCAAACAAGAAAATATATATACTCATTCAGGACCATCTGAGGATCATTTCAGGCAAGTCTGAGCTGAAGTTGAAAACATTTGATATTCAGAAAAAACTATGATTGCACAATCATGTTAACAAATGGTTTCCATGGCTATGTTCAAAAGTTGAAGTAGCCAACACACAACAACACTTTATCTCTTGTCTTTTACATATGCACAAATTTCCATCTCAATGACATCAGTGGAACTTGAAAAGAAGTTTAAAAATGTTATTCTAGATGGCAACCATCTCAGCCATATAAGATTTCAGATTGACACCAAAAAGACCACAATTAGTCAGGGCCATCTCAATGTATCCTTTCAGACCAAATTGAGCTGATTTCCACTGATGGAGCTTAAAAACAAGTTTTAAATGTGAAAATTTTACAGAGATGCACAAGAGGTTAGACACAATGACTATAGATCAACATTACCCTTAGGGTCAGGCACTATGCTAAGTAAATATGAGTAGTGATTCAAATGAAAATACATGACTTCAGTAATTTCAATAAACAGCTTCTACTCTCTGAATTAGTCATCAAGTTTAAATCGTTTTTGACACTAAAACAAGGATAATAATGTAGGTCGACTTACTGTGTGTTCTCCGACTTCAATGACATTGATGATGAAGGTTTACATTCTTCTATAGGAATCCACTCTACAGTTGTGTCAGTGCACATCAGCTGTAAGGTTTGAACATTAGAATTATTAATACACACCTTCCTTGTTCCAAATTCTAAAAGTTCCTGTTTCGATGTTTTCAAAAAAATTGGTGGGTTCTATTTAACAACATCAGAATCATCACATATTCTTAACACGTATACATTTTTAGCACGTAAAGTTTCTATACATGAAGATTTAAACAAATGATCCCTCCTTCATGTAGACAATATGGGTTATGTGATGAATATTCAATCGTTTTTTAAATTTAGTTTGGAACATGTCATTTGATTTTGACAATCTGACTGCATGTACTTTTCCATTATGAGAATATCTGAAGAGGAAAATTTCTTTCAAAGATTTGAACAGCTTTGCACAACTACACTATTTCTTGTGACAGTATATTTACAAGTCTTTTTAACTCTTGCACATGAAACTCAATGAATGAAATAACTCCATGGCGACTTTTAAAACTTCTTTCAGAGTAGGCATGTTCAACAAGGAGTACCAAGATAGATCTTGATGACCATGGTTTGTGGCTGCATGCATAAATCAATAAACAACCATCAAACCTAGTTCTTATGCAGACTTAAGCATGATCTCTTGTGATGAAAACAAAATTTAACAAACAAACTGTTAGAATACCTTTTGATCTTCAAGTACATGAAAATATTGAAGACAAACTGTTACTGGCATTGGACTAGATTTCTGCAGTCTCTGATTCTTGAGTCGGCACAGGAGGTTTGTGAGAGAGACAGCGCCTGTTTCTGTCAAAAATATGTCATTAAAAATCAAAGACGGATTATCAACTTACATATTATTATGAACTTTCTGCAACACAGAAAATTGTAAGTGTCCTCAAATTAAATTATCAAATTCAACCAGTACCTAAGTGCTAGATCTTCATCTACATGTACTCTTGTGTCAAATTAAATGCACTAACCTATATAGGTCAGGTCGAGTGGTGGTAAGGGCTCAGAGTGCATATATTTTACAAGTGGCTTCTTAGGCTAAAACCTAGCCATTGAATCTTTGTGCCATTTGGAAAAGTGAATCAAGGGTGATCAACTTTTATTTGGTGTTCAGATTTTTTTTCTTTTTTCAATTGAAAAAAAAATTCTAGTCCCAACACAAACATTTTACAGGTCCATAACTGTCAACAATGGTTAATTTAAGTAAACATGACAGTTGCCACTTTAAGCCCTGATGGTGGATGTATAATACAACATGTGAGGTCAATTTTCCTGTACATATTTTATGAAGGAGTTCTTGTAACATGTTGAAATACCGATAATGATCCCTTAAAACACTGACAAAATCAGTCACTCTGATAGGTTTAATCGGCTCATTCCCCGAACACCAACTTATTATCTAATATAAATAGTAAACCCCTAAATGAAGCTGAATTAGCACTATGTATGACAATACATTATCCATTTATCTAGATATTATGTCCTTTTACAACCTGTGATAATCAAGTAATCCATAAGTCCAGAAAACACAAAACACTCTATCCAAGATGCAGAAGCTCGGATGCTGAATCGGCATAGGTCATCAGGTCGATTGTCCCAGTCTGGTAATGGTCATTCAAGGTGGCCAGGCGTCTCTCAATGTTGGCATATTTCTTCTTCTGGGGTTGAATGGTGCCTCCTGCGTCTCTCTGAATCCGGCTGATGTCGTTCATGTTCTGTATGTCCTTAAACGTCTGGATGATGGTGTAGATGTTGGGGTGGGCATGCAGTACCTTCTTCAGTTTTCCGTGCCAAGCTTCCAGATGGTTGGTAGTCCGGGGTCCCTCGGTTGAGAAGTGGTTCCAGGTGGTACGATCTCCCTCTATCCATTGTGTGCAGCTACCTCAAAATCGACGAAGGCTGTAGTGGGTTGGAATGGAATGTCGAAGTGTGCCATGTGATCCTGGAGGGTGAAGAAATGGCTGTAGATTGCCTGGCTCTTTCCGGGAAGTAATGCGTATACGACTGGTGTCATGGTGCCTTCATTCTGTACATGGACGCTGTAAATCTGATGAAACATTGTTGGACAGTTGTAGAATGTTCCGTCACAGAAGAAAGTGTCAGATGCTGCAAGTTCGGCCAGGTTCTCCGATGAAGCGAATGCGATCATCCTGTTGTTCTGTTCACTGTCGTCAAAGAGAAATGGTTCGCCTGTAGATGCTTCTGTCCATCTTCCATCCAAGGTGATGTCGGCCAAAGTCTTTGGTAGTGGAGGAGTGTGCTTGCGGCGAGCACGGTAAAGAGACAATTTCGCTGTGTAGAATGTTGGTAGTCGCTGGACCACGGCCTTGGAAGTGTCATCCCAGTCGAGTTGATTGAGCTCTTCCTCAAAGATGGACGGAATAGGCTGGACCGATTATACGCATTTGTTGGTGATCTGGTTGATGATCTGTTTGGCTACAACACTGGCTGGGTCTGAGGCGTGGGTGTGTGGATTTCTTCCGAAGTTAGCTGGTATGTTGTCGATTGTCGAGAGTGATGCTGAGCAGCCTGAGGTCGAACATCTCCAGAATGTCCTGCTGCCGTTCTTTTGAATCTGTCTGAAGATGAATCCATTATGTGAAAGGTTCTGTCCGCCTCTTCTGTTGGTGATGAACTTAACGTTGATCTGAGCATTAGCCATACTGTCCTTGTATCAAACAACAAAGATAATAATATCACTCAAATTAAACACAATTTACATAAAAACTGAGAGAAAATACAAGATTAAATAATATATGACAAAAGTTACAATTTACACAAAAACTGAGAGAAAATACAAGATTAACTAATATTTGACAAAAGTTACAATTTACACAAAAACTGAGAGAAAATACTAGATTAACTAATATTTGACAAAAGTTACAATTTACACAAAAACTGAGAGAAAATACTAGATTAACTAATATTTGACAAAAGTTACAATTTACACAAAAACTGAGAGAAAATACAAGATTAACTAATATTTGACAAAAGTTACAATTTACACAAAAACTGAGAGAAAATACAAGATTAACTAATATTTGACAAAAGTTACAATTTACACAAAAACTGAGAGAAAATACAAGATTAACTAATATTTGACAAAAGTTACAATTTACACAAAAACTAAGAGAAAATACTAGATTAACTAATATTTGACAAAAGTTACAATTTACACAAAAACTGAGAGAAAATACTAGATTAACTAATATTTGACAAAAGTTACAATTTACACAAAAACTGAGAGAAAATACAAGATTAACTAATATATATATGACAAAAGTTTTGATTTGACAATATATATCTGTGACAAAAGTACAGTAATAAATCAAGCTATGATTGAGATATTGATCTTTCAAAGTGCAGATTGAAATACGATAATTTCCCAAAATGAACTTGGCTTTTACACATTTCCCATTGAATAGCTTGGGATTTAAACAGATTTAACACAGATATTTGATTCCTTTATTTTACAGTTATTAACAGTTTTCAGTTTTCTGAACAGTTATCAGAATCAGAACTTATTCATCTGATTTACCTGTTTTCTGAACAGTTATCAGAATTTACCTGTGCAAGTTACCTGTACTACAATTCTAAAACAGCCTATAATCCACTATCATCACAGTTGACCCCCTATGTAAACATGTTGCCATATACAGAGTTGGTGTTCGGGGAAGACCCCGTTTAATCAACATAGTTCACCAGGGATGTTGTTTTAACACTCACGTTGTTATCAGTCAATTTGTCATTGTCAGAAACTGAGTGCCAAGTCATTATATATCATTGTGACAAGGTACTAAGGAAGCAGACAACTGAAAGAACATATAGGGGGAAAGTCTGATATCAAACCACAGGATTCTGAAAATTTGTGTGTGAAACAAAATTTATCAAAATAAAAAATTAGCATCCTGTAATCAGATTAATTATAACAAGAAATTGTTGCTAACAATTTTGCGGGCTTTTCACTTCTTTGGCGACAAGTTGACCGGAAGTTGACATTTATCCTGATAACAATATATGAGAAAGTTTCTTTGTTTGTTAGTCTCTACAGAATATCAAAAGATGAACTTTGAATCTTGAAACGTTAAGGAGATATAACTACATAATAACGAAGAAATACACTTTTTAAAAGTTCAAACATATTTGACCCCTGTGACCTTGAATGTCGGTCAAGGTTTTTCATATTTGCAAGCCTTATAATGTAACATCTGATGATCAATATAAACCCAATATTAGTTCTCTAGACCTTGTGAAACTTGACAAGAAGATTGTTGAACACTGGTACCCTATTTTGTATATTTGAACTTTGACCCCTTTCGGAAACCGGAAGTTGACATTTTGAGGGATGGTTCTCTTATGACAATCACTAGGAAGTCTCCACAGAAGGTTTATAATTAATTTTCATCATTGTATGCCTTCTAGAAATTGAGAAACTGTCATTTAACAATTTTTAATTAATTGACATCTGTGACCTTGAAAGTGGGTCAAGGTCATTTACATTATCAAACTTTGTTGCCAGTTACATATGCTTCTTATATGTGAAATATCAAGCCTCTAGGCCTTCCAGAACTTGAGAAGAAGTTTTTCAAAGATTGGTACCCTATATAGCTCTTTCCAAATTTGTGCCCTACCGAAAACCGGAAGTTGAACTTTTAGGGAAGTTTTTCTTATGACAATCAATAGGAAGTGTCCACAGAAGATTTATGATCAATTTTCATCATTGTGTGCCTTCTAGAAATTGAGAAACTGTCATTTAACGATTCTTAGTTAATTGACCTCTGTGACCTTGAAAGTGGGTCAAGGTCATTTATATTATCAAACTTTGTTGCCAGTTACATATGCTTCATATATGTAGAATATAGAGCCTATAGGCCTTTGAAAACTAGAGAAGAAGTTTTTCAAAGATTGGTACCCTTAATAGCACTTTTCAACTTTGACCCCCTTTGCAAAACAAACACCAAAAAAAAACATAAATTTGTGAAGTAAACACAATCATATCTTTGTGTAATGCACTAACGAGCATACAATTTAAATGCATATGACTGGGACATTTCACAGACAATTACCCTTACACAATGATCATTACAAATAGCTGCATTGACTGTAGTGTTTATGATAAGTGAATAGATGTAATGAAATACTAGCTTGAAATATTTCAACTTTTGATCAAAGTATGTATGTACTGTATACATAGATGTAGAAAAAAGGCATAGATCTACAGGTAATCACAGCTCTTGGTGTGTAGGGATCTACAGGTAATCACAGCTATTGGTGTGTAGGGATCTACAGGTAATCACAGCTCTTGGTGTGTAGGGATCTACAGGTAATCACAGCTCTTGGTGTGTAGGGATCTACAGGTAATCACAGCTATTGGTGTGCAGGGATCTACAGGTAATCACAGCTCTTGGTGTGTAGGGATCTACAGGTAATCACAGCTCTTGGTGTGGAGTTTACTACTCTAACTACACACCTCCAAATATGATACAAATGTTTTATACGGACATTAAATACATTCGTCAATATCTCTAATACAGATCACTAGATTTTATCAGTTTTTTCGGCTTCCTCCTAAATCTTAACAACTTTGTTCTCCTATACTCTTTAAGCAATTCTGTTAACAAGATTGCACTTTTGGTGCACAGAAAACCTCTATGTATAGTACACTAGTGAGCTAATAAAACCATGGTTTAAACCGTTTATCAAAATCTGTGATAAAAACGTTTAGACAATCAAACTGATTTGCATCTAACATGTTAAGTGAATTTTATCATTGATAATGAAACCAGAAAACCATCACTAATATTATGATACCTACTATTTCAGCTATTTATTATCAAAATGAAAACATGTCCGTGTATTGTGTCCTATGTTGTGATGTTAGGTTTAGTTGTATTGTTTTGTTGCTTGTTTGGTATGTTGTGACGTTGTTACCCTAGGGTGTGATGTCCACTGGTCAATTATGTAACATTGTACATATTAGTGTTTTGATTGGTCAGTTTCATGCCTGTTTCTTTGTGTCTAAGTTTGGACTTGTTAGTACCTTTCAAAGACTCATAGTGAATGGACCTGATTTGCCCTTCCATGCTCTGCCTTCAAATAGTAACTAAAGTCACATGACCTCATACTTGGACAACTCATATTAAAAAATTCAATTTACTACTGCCATACTGCTGCCAACTCACACAAAGTTCTGACAGTTATTGCTTGAGTAACTTTCAGGAAACATCAATTTCTATAAATTTCTATCTAAAAGAACATTTTACGTTAGAGAATGATTATTGGTAAGCTTAATATTGCAAAAATGATTCTCAAACGGAGATGAACATCAGTGACAGATGCATGAGGAAGAGGGAGAAACCATAGGCACCTATACACTCGAAAATAGTACAGTATGTACACAGAAATGCATCAATGACACATACTATTAATTCTTGTATAGCTGGGTAATCAGCTGGTTTGCACTTGATGTTTTTTTATACAATCAAACGTCTAACTCTAAAGACCATCAACAAAGAACAAGAATCATTACACATCTTCAGTTCTGCCATTCAAAGCACATCATGTTGTGTTCAATGGCTAATAGCCTAACAGGCAACTGTCCAAGCAACAGATAGGCCTAGGCCTACATATACATAAATTGTTTATAAGACAATTTTCATGCACTTTGACATTCAAGTCTTGTCAGTATCTTACAGTTTTTCAAAGCTACATATAAGAAAAGAAAGTTAAAATTTGCAACACAAGAATTATAATTTACTATTTTACAAATTCCATTTATTATCTCTGATATGAAATGGTACTGTATCATTATTTTCTGATAGCATTCAACAGTTTTTGTCCTCGTTAGAGAAAATGCTTTCTGTCATATTCATTTACCCAGCCTTGTTTTATTACAATATTTGAACAATATTACAAAAGTTTTTGAATGTAGCTTTGATGGTCAACAAATAGAAATGTCACCACACTGGGTTTACATGTATTATGAACTTGAAAAAAAGAGAGTATTTTTTAGAAATGTTTAATTCTTAATCAATATTAGTCAAAGGGGAAATATCATTAAATAATGATTGACCTCCATATAAAAATATATTGATTTTAAGGATGTACAAAATATCAATCTGTTGAAAAATGTTTTCATATTGTGGGCCTTGTAAAGACAACAATTCTAACTGCTTACCAGACATGCACAGGTAATTGTCAGATATAACACATTCCTTTGGAATATAAAATCAAGGCAGTATCCATGAAACAATGAATATTGTATCAGTGATGTAAAACCAAAGGAAAATCACAAAAGAATTTGTCAAATCAGACAGATACAGATGTTACAAAAATTACAAAGATATACAAGGGAAAAAATTGGGACTTGAAAATTATTTCAACTCAAGCGGAATTTTGACATAAGGGATTTTGAGACAGTGAGTTTCAACTGTTTTTATTGTGTTTTGTGCAAGTCTTTGGATCAAACGAGGTTCTGCATCAGTAATGTATAACGATATTGCATGTGTATGAATTTTAAAATTGTCTACAGTAGAGTTATAATACCATGACTGAGGCCAAAACACAAAAAAAAAAAAAAAAAAAGAAAAATTGTGAGTATTTACTTCACACCCTTTGCCACTGTTTAGTCGACATGATGTATATTGTTCAAGAATACTGGTGTAGGTATGTCGCTAAATCTTCAATAGGTTTTCTTTCCCGAGAGGGATTTGTATCAAGTCAATTTTATTACTCATATTCTCCATCACTTGTTTTTGAATAATTTTTCAGTGTTTTAATCTGTCATGGGGTTGGTAATTATTAATCAATATCCAGGTTTTTTGTGGTGGCAATGTCTTCTAAATGATTCTAGAAGGCCTTTCTTAGTATTTTTAGACTATGACTTCTACATTTTTTTAATAGATAAGTTATTTTCTTTTTTTTTTAAAGTTTCGACAGAATATTGTATATTAAAGTATTACAATAATTAATTTAACTACGAGGGCTTGACTACATGAATAAAATACATGTACTTAATGACCACATATATGGGGAGGGATGTGGGTTATTGGAAAGGGTGGGTTGGGACAGGGTTTTCCATAATTTTGTTAGTAGTAGGCTGTGTAGTGAAAGTAGGAGGCTGGCCTGCCGTGTAGGTGTAGTCGTGTACGGAACTGGATAGGTGTAGGCGGCCAAATGATCAAAGTAGCCGGTCAAATTGGACGGCGACCGGCTCTGATGGAAAACCCTGGTTGGGTCATCATATAGAATACCCATATGCATTTATATGTATGACAATGCCCTGACCATATGTGTGTGTGCAGTGTCAATAGGCTGGCAAGTGTCGTCTTACTAGCATCGATATAACAGCCATTGACATCTCCAAGGGGAGATGCTTCCTTTGAAGATATCACACCTTAGTTGGTGCTGTCTTTGGGCTTTAACATTTTGTGAAGAAGGGATCTCGAGTAGTGCACAAATTACAGGTCAACATTGGCTAATGGTAATTCCCTTAGTCCAGCTAAAGACAGAACAATCATTTTTGAGAAAAGAGACAGAAGATTTAGGATGTCTTTCTTCATTACTCTTTCCTATTACAGTATTACACTTCAGTACCGAGTTGTTTCGGTTCTTACAAAGGTCGTTTCGGTACTTACATTGAACGAGCTGCATTTATTGATGACAAAACAACTTAAAAAACATTATTAACATTATAACGAAACGACTTATTTTGTAAGTACCGAAACAACCTGATACCGAAACGGCCCCCATCCCTACAATCTCCACGAGATCGCGAATTCGAACTGGACTGTCGGAGAGCTACAGTCGACCTAAGCGTCCTGCCAGATGTGCATACCAGAACAAAACAGGGCCACGATTTGTCTAGAAGGTCCTCTGAACATCGTCATCTTCAGGCAACTTATCAAAATTCGGCGGGATATGAAAATGTTTCCATCATTGTTTACTGCACGTTTTTTCATCTAGGTTAAGAAGACGTTTAACAAAGTCTCTACCGAAACAATTAAGCGACAAACGTTTCGTCGATCGCTACCCGGCAATGCACCGTCTGTTAGGTAGCAGTAAACAGTTAATTTGCATTTTTCCTGAAATTATTTGTCATGTTTGAGATATACAGGTATAGCAGATTGGTTATGAAAAATACATCATTACATGTATATATATTTATAAACTGTATAACAATTACATTAACAGTAGAGAGATGAAATTTGTGTAAAAAAAAAAATTCCTCTGATTTCTGACATTTGATTGTCATGGTTACCTACTGAAAAAATGCTAAAAATGCAAAAATACTGCTAATTCCAATCCAACACTACAACTTTCAAGGAGAAATTTAATTCTTATCACCTATCTTACAATCAACAACACTGTCGTGGTAACAAAGTACTTACATTTCAGCAAATTCCAACTCGGAAATTCTTCATAACATGACCACATGTAAACACTATGAAAATTTCACTTCCTGTAAAGCTAGTTTTTGGTGCGTAGACACAGATTCGAGACTGCCCAAATAGTAATCTCCAACACAAAGCTAAAATATTATCCTGAAAAAAATGAAACCCCACATTGTCCACTTTAACATGACAGGACCAATTTTAGCAAGGATTTTTTTTTTCATTTTTAATTAAAACCTTTATAATGGGGTAATCTAATGAGCAAAAAAATCACCCATGGCCACACCGAGAAACTGTGTACTGCTACCTTAGCAGATGCTCGAACATCTGATAGTGAATCGAGATGCATGTAAAAGACTATCCCAAGATGCCGTAAGAACTGATTATCGATATTTTCTGAAAGGAATTGTAAGTAGCAGTTTATTGTCATTCATAATATAGGGTCAAATAATTCCCCACAATGCGCGGGATCTCACTAAGAGCAAGCCTCTCAAGGCTTTATCAGCGTAGACTATATATATACACTATAGCAGGGACTTACCTGACTATAGCTAGCTGTAGGGATCGATGGGCCTTTCGTAATAATACGGTATATTACAGGTACAGAGTCATTAACAGTCGTACAAACATGATTATCACTGGACTGGTATAAATACAGCCTTCTTCGTTTTCTACAACTATACATTCTAATGATTATGGTGAATTAGAGGTGTGCATGCACTGCCTTGTTTTAACAAGCAGAGAGGGATTTTGGCGCCACCATTTTTTATTTTTAATTGTTCTTTAAAAGTTTGATCTTTTCATTCTTGTCTTTTCTTTCTAGTGATGAAGTTTATTATTACATCAAATTTGAAAATTCTTCTTAAGAAGTGCTAATAAAATCTGGTAATTGCCAAATCCAATATAGTTGTCTGTGAGCTTGATACCGTTTTCAAATAGTCTTGGCGACATTCCACACATACAGGCAGTATTCTCCGTTTTGTGCTGTGGTTTTGGTTCATTTTCATAGTGAGTTTACAGCTTTTATTCCCATTTGTTGTTGTGTTGGCCGTTAAATTTTGACTCTGTTTCCTCTATCTGTGTTCAGACATATGGCAATGAGTTTCGGTTGCCTTTTTCGTTGGTTTCCTTCGTGTTTTTCGCTGGTTTGCTGTTTATATATGTGTTGGTTTTCCTTTATGATACAGTCTTTTCACATATTTTCAGCATTTTTTAACCTTTATTATTTCTATTGTTGTTTAAGTCAATGTTGTATGTTGATTATGATGGCAAGTAATCATCTTTGGTGGATGGGTGCAGTCATTTTTATTGTGAGTCGGACCCTAGTCTGCATGTCCCTAGTGCCATTATTGCTCAGAGGAGAGACTCTCTGATGTTTGTCTGCTCAGTTCAAGGGGTTTAGGGCATCCAGATTTTCTTCATGCCCTAAGGCCAAGGTGGGTAAGTGTCCTGGCAAATGTCCCTGCACGGTGTCCACATTGCTCAGACTGGAGATGGCTCAAATGACTCCCTTTTGTTCCTAAGGCATCCCTTCCTCAGGATGTGGATACCTTGGAACCCATTGACTGTGAGGGATCAGGCACAGCAGAGTGTGATCTTCTCTATCTTTTGCCTTGGTGCTCCGAGGTTGATGACCTATCAAAAGTTCCTTCTTCTGATGGTGCTCCTTCTGATGGAGAATCCCTGTCATGAGAGGAGGCTGAGAATGAGATGGTAGCTGAGGCTTCCCACCTTGTTCCGGGCATGCATGTTTTATGCTAAGACATTGCCCTTATCCTTGGTGAGAGGGATTGCCTACTTCATTCAGTCCCAGAAGCCACCACATTGCTGAGCTATTTGGTACCTCCAACCCATCGATCTGAGTGCTTTCAACAATCATATGGATTCTCCTCACTTCAAAATGGCGACCTCTTAGGACATAGTCGCTTCTGTGGGGGAGGTTATGTGGTCAACTTCATTTGAACTGAAGGATGTCTACTTCCATATTTCCATCAAGAAGTCGGCAAGGAAGTACTTCTTTACTTGTGACGGCAAAGTCTTCTAGTTCGGGGCCATGTCTTAGCCTCACAACTGCTCCTCTGGTTTTTACCAAACTGTTACGGTGGTGGCGAGTTTCCTGCACTCGCAGGGTATAGATATTCACATAAACTTCAACGATTTCCTAATGTTACACATGGTCAGAGATTGGTTGCATGATAACCCCTTGGTCCTGAAGCTCTCCAGAGAGAAGCTAGAGGTATCCCCTTATCAGGACTTTTGTGTTTCTAGGGTACCATTTCAATACGGAATTCTCCTCCCACCAGAGAAGTTTATGAATACTAGAGACTTTGCTCTAGCCTTCAGGAACATGTCTCGGGTTCAAACGCATAGGTTCCTCAGGTTTCCAGAGTATCTAAACTCCCAGGCAGATGTGGTTCCTTTGGAATGTCTTCACATCAGACCCTTGCAAATGTTCCTGCTAACCAACCAGGTCCCATCTTCAAAGGATTGGGAGGCAATGCATCCCTTAATGCAGTCATTGAAGGACTTTCTCCTTGAGTTCCTATGACCGATGGCCTACCTGGCCAGCCATGTCTGGTCAAGGGAACGGTCCAAGGTACAGCTCTCGGAACACATCAATGTGCTGGAGATGAGAGCAATTCTGCTAGCTCTGCAATCCCTTCAGGAGTTGTTGCTTATCTGGAGAAACGGGGGCACCAGATCCCGTGTGCTGTGTGCCTTGGCTATCAAGGTTCTTCTGCTTTGCAAGGAGATGGACTTGACAATTCAGGTCAAGCATCTTTCAGGCAGCTCGAACATCCTGGCAGACACTTTTTCCAGGCGTCGTGAGCCGATGTTGACAGAAACCTTCAGTGATCTGAGCGGTTTGTCAGACAGACCTCACATAGATCTGTTTGCCATAGCACTGAATGCTCAGTTACCAATCTATGTCTCTCTGATCCCAGATCCACAGGCTTGGGCAATAGATACATTCCCTCCATTCAATCTGGTGGGCAGGGGGCTCCAGAAGTTTGAAGAACATTCCTGCTCTCTCTTTGGAATTCAGAATTACTGGCTCTGTTGGTGGACCAGCCTTTGTGGCTGCTGTTCAATTGAGACCTCCTTTGGCAGCCTTGGTCCTATGTGGTGCACTTACAGTTTCAGATTTCCACCTTCATGTTTGGAGGCTCTTGTGACAAGAGGCCTGACTCAAGCATCGCAAGGTAAATCAGGTCTTCCTCTACTGCCATCTACCAATCCAGATGGAGGATGTTCCATGATTGTTGTGGTGAGAGGCAGATTGGTCCACTCAAGGATCTTGTTCCGGTGATTGTGGATTTTCTTGTCTTTATTCAAAGAACGCAATCTTGCACTTGGAACCATAGGTGGCTATCTCTCTGCTTTAGCCAGCGTCTTTGCCTTTCATGGCAGGCAAGAAGTCAGCACTTCTTCCTTGTCTCCTTGGCTCTGCTTAGGAGCTTTGGTCTGGTCAGACCTAGTGTCAGGCAGTTAACCCCTCAATGGAATCTAGTGTTCATGTTAGATTCCTTGACTAGAGCCCCTAATGAGCCTCTTGAGAATGTCTCTCTGAAGTTCCTTACCTTCAAGACAGTTTTTCTCTTTGCCTTGGCCTACAGGGTTCAGATGCAGTGAACTTCATGCCTTGTCATGTCTTCCTCAAGGTTGGGGAAAGGAGGGGTTGGGGCACCAGTTCCAGTTCTCGATTGTTTATGTCCATCCCACAGGTAAGCAGGATATTATTGATCAGTCCATCTCTAGATGGATCTGTGAGGTGATTCGCTTTGCTTACGATCACTCCGATTAGGGGATCTGTGGGTGGTTCAAGGTTAGTGCTGATGAGGTCAGGACTCTTGCTACGTCTTGGGCTATCCTTTCAGGCTCTTTCTTTCAGGAGATCATGTCAACCGCCTTCTGGCGAGGACCGATCACATATACTGATCTTTGGCATCAGTTTCTGATGACCTTTTTTCTCTTGGGTTTTTGGTTGTGGCACAGTCGGTGGCTGTTCCCTAGTGTGTTAGTCAGTAGTCTGCATCACATCCTTCGTTGTCTGTCTAAGGGATGTATTTTGTTGTTCAAATTTTCCCCATGGGTATAATTTCTACCCTTTTATTGCCCTGTATTAGATTTTACGCTGGGATGTGACAGTCTTTGCTATGGTAAGATGACTTTGCATACTAAGGTTATGGTAATTATTACTGAAATGAAACTGAGTTTTTTCTTTTAAATACCAATTTTCATGGTGTGATAATAACCATAACTTTATTGAGTCCCTCCTTCCCTTTCCTCACTATCTTGCACTTTCATCTGTGGCATTGGTGATAAAGAAGGACGTATTTCTGGTTGTGAACAAGTACGACAGGCAGGTAAGAGTGGCTCCCTACAGAGGGTTTATTGGGCTCTCTTACCTCAATGTTACTGTTGGCCAAAAGTCTCGTAAAAATAAAAGATATGGCAAGCATTATATAGTAATGATACAATATATACAGATTTCAGTGAAGATCAA